GGGGGGGGGGGGGGGGGGGGGGGGGGGGGGGGGGGGGGCATGGGACAGAGATGATGAGTCGCAGACATTTGCAATGTGTGTGTAAGAGATGTAGTGTGTGGATGATGCGTTATATGAAGGGAGTATGGCCGTTTCCGGCCGGATAATAATTCATATATACGGTGTTTATGTGGGGACGTCGCCACTGACAGTCGAGATTGCCTTCGCCGGGAGATATGAACAGCAATTTTTCTCCATTCTCCACTATGGGCTTTTATGTTGCTTTCTCCGTTGCTTTCTCCGGAACCAAGTTCATGGAACTCATTGGCCGAAGGCCAAGAGGAAAGAAAGCAAGACTGAATAACAAAAAAAGTAGGCTTCCTTGCCGTTCTTCTCTCCATCCGTATCGACTGTCGACGAAGATTTCGGAAAAATTCACCGAGCCACGATATGTCAGAACTATCTCTGAAATTGCCTCCTTTCTCTCTCTATTGCCCTGATAAATCCGGCTGAGTTTCAGCCTTTATTTCGGGCGGAAATGCGGGAGACAAGCCGGGAACGAGAAAAGTGCGATAAGGCATTCCCTCGTACCTCATCGGCTCCCCCGACTTAATCATCTCCTGTCATTTCCCGACGATACCATTGCCGATGCCGATGCCAATGGCATTCGCCACCGATAGACACGTCACTAATTCCTTCCTCGGATGGAAGTAGAGAGAGTGCAGTATAACATTCCCCACGAGAATGCATCAAGAGTTCCGTCGGTTATATCCCCGAGTAATTAACAGCCCTACTTCTCCCTCCCGTATCGTCAGCTGATCGATATGCACTCGGCGTCTTCGTCGCCCGAGTGCAGCCACATAAACGGGAGGGAAAAAAAGGGAAAACACGGCACGAGAGCGTTCCCGAGTCATCAGGGGGAAAGAAGGCTTAGGAAGGCTCTTTTTCTATTTATTAAGCCGAGATCCCGGCTCGAGCATATTGATCGATGCCTCTGGGTGTAATCGACTGAGTCTGGAGGAAGGACTCTGATTTACTGCACTCCCTTCTCTCGTCAGACAACCTCTTCGAGGAAAAAAGAAAGAAGTAAATCATCCGGTAAACAGAGCTCTCGCTCCTTCTCTCTGCAGTGCCTTCCCCGAGCAAATCTATTTTTCTCCTTCGAGTCTCTTTTATGCATCAAGACCCTCGGAGTCTTTTGATTCATCATGCATGCGAGCGATACCGTTTTTTTTTTTGTTATATGATGATTTCCGATCGAGATTTCCGAAGAGGGAACTGGAATCTCCCAATTTTTGCCGTTCTGAGAATTGTTATATGCAGTTCCTCCGTTTGGAGTGATGCCAAGGACATAGCTAATCATTTCTCCTCTTTCCGGCGCGCCTCGATTTCCTCCTTTTGTGCGTCCCCGACGAGGGGAATGCCGGTTTCAACCTTTTTCTTGCTTTCGACCGAAATTGGCTGGATTCGTTTTCGATAACGGCATTATTGAGGCTTCTCTTGTTTCCTTTCAGACCGGTCGTGGAGATGGGGTCGGAGGACGAGGAAGCGGGTAAGACACATTTTCTCCCCTCTTTCTTTTTTTTTCTATCTTCTTATCCGTCTTCCTCCTCTTTTGCCACGGGAAAGAGGATAATGCACAAATGGAGAACTAATTCTTCTGGGGATTCCTAAGTCCAGAACGGAAATTGAATCACGACGAAGAGAAAAAAAAAAAGAAATACGTGGAAACGCAACACAGCTTTCGCGAAAATAGTCAGAAACTTCCATTACCGATTTCTCCTTCGTGTGAAATCGTTCCTCTGTGCCCCCCCCCCCCCCCCCCCCCCTCCCCTGCCCCCTGCCCCCTGCCCCCTGCCCCCTGCCCCCTGCCCCCTGCCCCCTGCCCCCTGCGAGAACCCGTTCCCATGGAGACCCGGAAGAGAAAGGACAAACGGGAATAAAAGGTCCATGCATTTAGTGGGAACGTGGCAGAAGGGGAAGGCAGATCGTGATATTGACGTTTCGTGTTAATTGTCCCTCTTCTGCACCCCCCTCCTTTTTTTTGTCCTCGAACTGCGACAACGATGTGCTTTTTGCGACAGGATGCCAGGGGACAATCCCTTCTATAGCACCATCGATTCCATGCCGGACATTAGACTCCGGAAACCCGGGAGCATTCCGTTGGTCTCCGAGCTGGTACGTCCGAATTCCCTTTCACTTCCTCAACGATAACCAAATGTTTCTTTCATTTTTTTTTTTACCCCTTCACACAATGCAGGACAACGTAAAAAAAAAAAGTGTTGCACTGACAGACGTTTGATGATCGTGTCTTTTTTGTCTTGTTTCTGGTCAGTTCTTAAACGTGAGTGACCCCCAAAATTTTCCTCTCTCGTATCCAGGCTGCAGTCGAGACTTTTTTTTTTCTCTCTTAGAGAGTGATTTTGGTGCCTCTCCTCTTCCTATCCTTCTTCTTTACTGTAGATGGCTTGATGGGAGATCCCTGCATGGGTCTATTCCATAGGGATTAGTCCTAGTCTCCATAGAGCCACGTGATACACGTCGATGACGATGTCCATGATACACACGTAGATCGTAGTGTCTCCGTGGAGGCAGCACTCCGTCGTGCTTTTCTTTGTGTCTTCTGGGCGTCGGGTTGCATGAGTTTAGCGGGGATTTTTAATCTTCTTTCCGTTCTTCTCGATGTCTGCATTATCACGTGAGTGTTGGGTTGCGATGACGGAGAATGTAAGGGGGTGGGGGAAAAGCCTTTTGTCTCGTGTACGCACACGTGTATAAGGATTGTCTTGTGAGTGAATAATTGAAGGAGATGGAAAAATGGTGTTGTCTGTTTTTTTTTCCCCCCTCGCAATGCTTACCCTCGCTTCACCGGCACACAATCGTGGCTTCTGCAGGTCCTCAAGGTACATGAACGTGTCGTCATTCACATTTTACTTCCTTTTTTATCGTCTTCTTGCATCCCTCGTCGACGGTGATGAATGCGGGATTTGCATATTTTCCTTCCCGATGATCTCCCTCTTCTGCATAACGAGGGGTAATTCGATCGATCCACGCATACCTCGACGAAGAAGAAGCGTGTTGAAGCCTTATGTCGTTTCCCATGCGTTTCCGTAAAAAATGAACAAAATTTTTATTTGGAATCTTCCGAGCGATGCAAGAAGACGAGTTTGCATAATGCCTCGTAATGCATAATGCATAATAAAAAATGGTGTCTGTGCCCTCCCGTGCACCGAAATAATGTTCCTCCCAGAGCATAAGATACATAGCATACACCTAGCCGTAGTCTTTCGCGTTCGGACGCGCGGATGTATTGATACGAGATGAATTTGTGCTGTGGCAGACGATGGCGGCGACGAAGCGGAACGCGGGTCTCACCTCCGCCGTCCCCCGGGCGACGCTCAACGACGAAGAACTCGTGAGTCTCCTCGTTTTCCTTTCTCGATTTCAATTTTATCAATTTCCATCTGCTGAATTTTGCGTGCCAATTTGCTCCTGCAAATTTACTCCTGCAAATTTCCATTTATCGATTTCCATTTGCTGATTCATTTTTGCCGATTTCTATCATCCGTCCTTATCCGTGCGTCGCGATCTAGTGGCGGAGCGACGATGACGCCGGTCGATAGCTGATCGCTATCGAATGGGCCATTTCGAATAATGAGTCGATTATTGGTGAGCGAAGTACCGGTTGATAATCGGCACGAGTCGATCGAGATTCCGCAAAGACGGGGAGTGAGGGTTCGCCATTTCCTCGGGAAGCATGGCTGCTAGGTAAATACGGAGATGGAAGCCGATGCCCGTAACGTAAACACGGAGAAGACGGAAAAGCTCCGCTGGGAGAGTCTGCATTTGAAAGTTGAAATATGTATAGAGGGGGAGAGAGCCTGGAATTGACGGGAGTAACGCCGTCTCGTTCGGGTTCCGAGAATCCAGATCTCGCGACGGTCTCTGAAAATTCTGGAAAACGCAGAAAATGTTACGGGATGGGAATCCCAAGACCCACCCACGAAGAATCGATATCGACCCTTCTCCTCCCTCCCTCCCTCCTTTCTTCTGCGCGCAGACGATCCCGTAGAAAGCGATGTGGACTCTATAGGCAGTGCCATGAAAGATTAAGAACCGTAGAAGCTCGGGAAGCCGGGATGGCGATGAGACACCGATGCATTCGGTTTCGACTGCAGCAGGGTTGCCGAATTCGCGGTCGAAGTGTCTACCCGGGAGGGACCCCGCAGCGGTGACATAGACGTGGGCGTCGGCGAGAATTCCGAGCCCGGGACGAGGGGAGATCCGAGTGTTTCGTCATGGGGTTTCGCTGCATCTCATGAACATCTAATCATGGGAGGAGAGTGGGATGGGGAGGGGAGGATCTTCTTTATCTTTCGTCGCCGATGTAATGTTTTCGGTCTTCGGGTTCGTTGGGTGCTGGGCGAGGGGGGGGGGAGGGGTGTCGGTACTCGACAGCCTCGGTCCGAGGAATAAAAAAAGAAATAAATAAACAAAGGAGTCGATATGTCGATGCGATGATCGCTCCGACGCTGTGGGACGGATTGATGGCTCGGGGGGAAAGGGTTTTGACTCGACGCGACGTCACGTTTGCAGAAGATGCACGTGTACAAGAAGACGCTGCAGGCGCTGATCTACCCGATCTCGTCGACGACGCCCCACCGCTTCTCGCCGTGGACGGCGACGTCCCCGACCTACTGCTACGAGTGCGAGGGGCTGCTCTGGGGGATCGCGAGGCAGGGGGTCCGATGCTCCGAGTGCGGGGTCAAGTGCCACGAGAAGTGCAGGGACCTGCTCAATGCGGACTGTCTGCAACGTATGTCGTTCCTTGCATTTCGATGCGCGTTTTTTTTTCTCGGCTCGAGGTTTCGACGTTGAGATTGTTTACCGTCCGAGTGACATTCAGATGCGATCTATCGGTCGTTTATCTTCATCCGTGTCACTTTATTTTACTCGTTTCGATATTGCCCGTATCAGGTTCCCTTTTTTTTCGGTTTGACCTTCGTGTTTACTCTGGCGTTCCGATACGCACTGTCGACGCTTTTATTCATTTTTTTTTATCGATTTCCGCTTTATTCGCCCATTTCTTGTCGAGTCTTATCACTATCGGACCGCGTTTTTCTTTCCCCCTCGCAATTCGCTGTATTGTGACGGATTGCAGGGGCGGCGGAGAAAAGCAGCAAGCACGGCTCGGACGACAAGACCCAGACCATCATCACCATCATGAAGGAACGGATGGAGAAACGGGAACGCGACCGGCCGGAAATCTTCGAGCTCATCCGGTATTTTTCCCGTTACGCCAAATCGATTTTTTTTTTTTCTCCTCGCTGCCACCATTAGTCTCTCCGCATAAAGGGCGGCCGGGACCATTAGGGTCCGAGGGACCTGTTGCTCTGGGTAAGGTCAAAAAGGACGAGGGATGAAGGTCATCAGAGGTCTGTCTTCGTCTGGCTCCGGCGAATATTTCCCGATCGATGATGAACTCCATTCGCATTTCCATAAAATGAATTCGGGGCCACATGTGGATCTCGAGACCATATGGGCCGGGTTTATCTCTTTTCTCCCCGCTAAGGGAATGTCTGCACTGAATTTCCAATAGCGGCGGGGAAGGAGAGACGATGATGAGAAATCCTCTCCAAAAAAGAGAATGGCCCATTTATCATCTCTCCTGAATTTTTTTTTTTCCATTATGAGCAGAAGGAGAATTTTTTCCCGGGCGAGGAAGAAACAATGAAAAGAGTAAAAAATGGAATAACGATGAATAACGATGCTGACTGCACTGCAGGACGGTGTTTGGCGTGGAAGAGAAGAACCATATAGGGCACATGAAAGCGGTGAAAAAGTCCGTGTTAGAGGGCACTAGCAAATGGTCGGCAAAGATTGCCATCACAGGTGATTGATGATTGATGGACTGATCCCTGGGTGTCTCGGCTTTTGTTCCCTCACTGCCCCCTTTTGCTCTCACCTTCGTCACCCCCGCAGCTTGTGGAAACATGTGGAACTCTCCTGTATTTTTTTTCCATAGGTCTATTTATTCCGGGTGATCGATGGGTCCGTGCGAGCATAAAAATCCCTTTAAGCCGATATGAAAAACGGTGCGAGGAAATTTCTTTTCGAAGGAATTCGGCCCGTCCCGGCGGCTTTCAATCCTGGCGAGAATGCGAAATCGAATTGCCATTTTCCATTCTCATCTGAGAAAAAAAATCTTTAAAGCGATGAAAGATTTGCTTTCGATAGCTCGCAATTTAATTCTGTTCATTGTAAATAATTTTGATAATATTAATAATAATTTTGATCAATAATTAAATATTTTCTACGCGTGGACCCCCGATCGCCCCGTGCAAATATGTTGTGCCAATTTGTCGTGCAAATTTGTCGTGAGAGTGTCGTTTGCACGGGACAGCATGCACGAATTCCTTTCCCTTTTCTTTCCTATTTTTTTTTTGGTGACGTTGTGCTTAAACAAAACCGCAGGACGACCTATGTGATCGACCCGGACTCCCACATCGACAGCCTTTCCCATGCTAAGCAACTCGTACTCGAGGGCACGTCCAATTGGTCCGCCAAAATCGCTGTCACAGGTAGTGATCCTCACCTATGCAAAAAAAAAAAAAAAATTTGTCCAGGCTTGCCAAAATGAATGAATCGTAGAAATATTTGAGCAGAAACAGTAGCGTGAAGAGTGAGTTAGTACTAGGCATTAAAGTTTTTTCATAGTGATTCAAAAAATAATTTAAACTTTTTTTGTGGAATGCCTGGCTGGAAACTTCTTTGCCGATTTGTTTTTTTTCCCTTCTCCTTCCCTCAGCCTTGCCCGTGCATGGTTGTTTCTGTTCCCCGTAGTCGATGTTGTTGAAACTTATAGAAATTGGAATTGTCGTTAAACGGATGGGACTGACCGTCTGATCGAACTGAATTGAATTTAAAAAATAAATCGTAATTGCTTGGAAAATAATTGGTGAATCGGTACGTGAGTATCAGGTAGCCGATCAAAATGTCGTCCGAGATTTTAGATACGATTCGAATCAAATTTAACGAAAAGATGTTCGCTATAAATGTAAACGTGATCTCGTAAACGCGGGAGTCCCTTTTCGGTACGATGGACATGTGAATGCATTTACGATCGCGACGGACTGACGATGGAAACGTACTCGACTGTGGGGTGCGTGCAGTGATCGGGGCGCAGGGGCTGATCGCCAAGGACAAGAGCGGGACGTCGGACCCGTACGTGACGGTGCAGGTGGGGAAGGTGAAGAAGAGGACCCGGACGGTGCCGCAGGAGCTCAATCCCGTCTGGAACGAGAAGTTTTATTTGTGAGTTCGCTTTTCGCGGTCGGGTGGGGTCGTTTCGGTCCGTCGCGCGAGTCGTGGTGTTTGGATCGTGGCGTCGTCGATGGGTGACGGTAAACGGAACCGATCTCTGCGCTCGTGAGTACGGTTCGTCTGTGGATCCTCGCGAGAGCCGAGCCCACGGTTCGATGGGATTCGGAAGCGGTCCGATTCCTGTTTCCCGTCGTCCGGCCTCGGATCTGTCGAGCGTCTCGGCGACTCGCGTTTCATCGACGAAGGCAGCATCCCCGGTGATGAGGTGCAGAAGCCGGTTCTGCTCTCTGTCGCCCGATAAAAAAGACAAAAAAAAATGAAAAAGCGGGGACGGAGAATGACGCCGAGTGAGAAACCCGAGCTGGCGTACCGTGCATCGGGGCTGCATGCAGTCCCAAAGGAAGCAAGAAAAAATAAGTAAAGAAAAAAAAAATATATATATATATACAGTATATATATACCCTATACCTGCCACCCGATGCATCGGGGCCGGCCTCGCACTCGCGTGATTTCTTTTTCTCTCGAGACTTTCGTGACGCGGAAGATCCTCGCCTGCACGGCTTTCCCTCCGTCGTCTTAAAGCGGCGTCGGTTGTTCCTTGCAGCGAATGCCATAACTCGTCGGACCGGATCAAGGTGCGAGTGTGGGACGAGGACAACGACCTCAAGTCCAAACTCCGGCAGAAGCTGACGCGGGAGTCCGATGACTTCCTCGGGCAGACCATCATCGAGGTCTCCGGGGTTCTTATTCTCCAGGGGGAGGGGGGGAGGGGGAGGGGAGGATAGGGTTTCACCGATCGGGGTAAATTAACGAATGCGTCGTTTCAAGGTTCGGACGCTGTCGGGGGAGATGGAGGTGTGGTACAATTTGGAGAAACGGACGGACAAGAGCGCCGTGTCCGGTGCCATCCGGCTGCACATCAGCGTCGAGATCAAGGGCGAGGAAAAGGTAAGACTCTCGCTTCGAATCGGGTCGTCTGGGTCGTCGTAAGATCTCGAAGGGAGAACGCTTGGGCTCCAATCGGATTCGTTTTCGGTTATATATATTTTACGTTCCGACTGGACTGTTAAAAATGAATCATCGAGTGAGACTTTTGCCGATTATGTCACGATTTGTCGTGAAAAAATCATGCGAAAATTTCCCATTCATACGATGATGACTTATTCAAATTTTCCATCTCTCTCGACACGCGCATCGGAATCAGGTGGCGCCGTACCACGTGCAGTACACGTGCCTGCACGAGAACATCTTCCACTCCCTGTGCGAGCAAAACGGCGGGGTGGTGAAGCTGCCGCAGTCGAAGGGGGACGAGGCGTGGAAGGTCTACTTCGAGGACCCGGCCGAGGAGATCGTGGACGAGTTCGCCATGCGATACGGCGTGGAGTCCATCTACCAGGCGATGACGTGAGGGGCTGGCTTTTTTTCTTCGCGGGGGGCGGGGAGGCTTTCTCGAGCGGTCTGGGGACGGTTGCCATGGTAACGGGTCTGGCGTCGCGTCGCGCTGGTGTGTACAATTCCTCGGCGGCTCTTTGTTCCTGGGACATTGTGGGTCCGAGAGCCATCTCGAAGATCTTTCCGTTCCTTCCGACTCCGGTTTAGGGAGAGATAAGGTTTCAAAGAAATTTTTGTCGGGGGGAGGGAGGGGGATCGAAGAAGTGCGTTATGGATAAATATGCAGGGTGCTATCGTACAGGGTGTCCCATAAGTTGGGTGCGACACTTGAAAAATTGCTTGGTTCCTAATCCATTTCATCAATCGATTCAAGTTTGCATTAAAGTGGGAAAAGGTGAATTTGTTCATTTTCGTTTTTGAGGTTAATTTGAGCAAATCTCACAATCACAAATGAAAGAAGTTGCACATTTAAATCTATTTTTCGACATATGGATGACTCCAAAACGAGTTTTGCTGACTCGCTGGAAGGCTGGCATTGAAAATAGCAGCGACCAGGTCGAAACATAGTTGCCAGTTGTGAAAATATATTTATGTTCTTGTCATTGTGGATTTTTTTATTTAAGTTTATTGTCTTTCTCCTATGAATTTTTTTTCTGTTAAATTCGTGATTTTTCTTCGTCCTTTGTGTACATCCTGTTTTAGTGAAATTTAATTAGGTAAAATTTGAAAATAAATGTCTCCCTCTACCAAGATGCAACATTTCATTGATTTACGAGCAATGCACAAGGAATGAAGGATTCCTCTAAATGTTATCCGATATGCAGAGCACCCTGTAACATGGAATTCGGTCCGGATGGATTTTTTCTGAAAAGCAAAAGCAGATAAGAATAAATCGAGCGACTTCAGGCAAGAGACACGAGAGAGGAAACGTCATAGACAAGCAATGGCGAAAAAAGTTGTTTCTGCCTCCGATTTACCACATTCGGTGTCGCTCGGTGGGGGTTCCAGAGGAAACGGAAGCAATTTCCTCAGACCTTTGGCACTCCGCCCTCTCTAGCCTAGCATGTTTTTTCCTCCTTCCCCCCCCCCCCCTCCCTTTTTTTATTTATTATCTTCCCCTTCCACTTTCCCAATCCCCTGAAATCGGCGATCACTCACACCCGCATGACGCGACGACAAAGCAGCCCGTTTGAAGCCTCCCCGCGAGATCGAAACGTTTCGACATCCACCGTTCTCACTCCCCCTCCTTCCCCCTTAGGCACTTCCACTGCCTGAGCACAAAGTACCTGTGCGCCGGAGTGCCCGCGGTGATGAGCACCCTCCTGGCGAACATCAACGCCTTCTACGCTCACACCACCGCCACCTCGGCCGTCTCCGCCTCCGACCGATTCGCAGCCTCCAACTTCGGAGTGAGTTTTCTCTCGGATCTCCCCTTTTCTCTCCGATATCGTTTCCCATCGGACGGAAACCTCGATTCCCCTACGGGCGAAAACTCGGCCATCCCCCGGCGATGAAATCATGTCATGACGTGATGCCATCATGATGCCATGATTATTGCACAGCACTCGGGAGGAGTCCATCTCCGTGCTTGGGTGTGGGGCCGACAACATGCGTGCCCGGCACGCTAGACGGACTAACGAACGCTTTTGAATTTTTCATCGTGCAGAAAGAGAAATTCGTGAAGCTGCTGGACCAGCTGCACAACTCCTTGAGGATCGATCTCTCCATGTACCGGAACAACTTCCCGGCTTCTTCCCCCGAGAAACTCACGGACCTCAAGGCCATCGTGGATCTTCTCACTTCCATCACCTTCTTCCGGATGAAGGTCTGTCACTTCCTCTGCTTCATTACGATAATTCATTCCATATTCAAATCAGGTCAGGGGGTTCGTAATTGAATGACTCTCCAAGAGGGCATTCCGGCCTTTTAATTAAAGACAGCCCCGTTTCATAATGATTATCGTTATGGCAGTGCCCTTTGCGCCTGGGTGGGGAATTCATCCTATATTTCACGATTCAAGTGGCACCCACTATGACGGGTTCTCATCGAAGAATTTCGTCACGAAATCTTCATTAGCGGAGTTTTCACACAGGCCTTTGCCTTCACGAAGCTGTTTCCCTCGAGTCTCCCCCTCGGTTTCCCTTTTTGGAGATTACAATATCCAGACGTTAAATCCCGAGAAGGAGCTCGGTGGAGCGAAACGCCGGTGAGATAGAGACGAGCGTGGTTGTTTTCTTAATGAGATCGGAAGGGGTGATCGGTTTGTAAACGAGACGGAGAGACGGGTGGACGTTTCTCCGAACGAGACGGAAACGAGCGTGAACGTTTTCCCGATGAGACCTGTCTCTCACCGCTAGGTGCAAGAGCTGTCGAGCCCCCCGCGGGCGAGCCAGGTCCTCAACGACTGTGCCAAGGCCTGCCTCCGCGCCACCTACCAGTTCCTGTTCGAGAACTGCTACGAGCTGTACTCGAGGGAGTTCCAGGTGGACCCGAACGAGGGGAAGCGGACGAACGAGGCGGGGGAGCCGGAGACGGGTCCCCGGCTGGACAGCCTCGACTTCTGGCACAAACTCATCGCGTTGATCGTGTCCGTGATCGAGGAGGACAAGAACTCGTACCATCCCGTGCTGAACCAGTTCCCGCAGGAGTTCAACATCGGACAGCTCTCGGCGGCCACCATGTGGCAGCTGTTCGCGACGGACATCAAGTACGCGATGGAGGAGCACGAGAACCACCGGCTGTGCAAGAGCTCCGCGTACATGAACCTCCACTTCAAGGCCAAGTGGCTCTACAACAACTACGTGAAGGACGTGCCGCCGTACAAGGGATCCGTGCCGGAGTACCCCACGTGAGACGCGACTCGTCTTTTCGGTATTTCTCTTTCGATGACGGTTTGGTCGACCGGGTCGTGATCGTTCCAGTTGGTTCGAGCCGTTCGTGATGCAATGGTTGAACGAAAACGACGACGTGTCCCTGGAGTACCTCCACGGCGCCTTCACGAGGGACAAGAAAGACGGGGTGAGGCTTCTTCCATTTTTTTTATTCGGTGAAGATTCGAGAAGTTTCGGATCAGATTTAATGCTTTGGGCTTTCTAATGTGTCGCATTAATTATATGTAATTCTGCTCGTTATGAATAATTGCGACTGTAATCAGTGGATCGGTGTAGTACGCTCGCGATTTGATTTATGGGTTGTTTACCGACCGGGGATCTTCCACCGTTCGCAGTTTCCGCCGAGCAGCGAGCACGCCCTCTTCTCCAATTCCGTGGTGGACGTGTTCACGCAACTGACGCAGTGCTTCGACGTGGTGTCGAAGCTGGAGTGCCCCGACCCGGAGATCTGGAAGCGGTACATGCGGCGCTTCGCGAAGACGGTCGTGAAGGTGCTCATCGCCTACGCGGAGATCGTGAAGCGGGAGTTCCGCGGCTACGTCGGCGACGAGAAGAAGGCGTGCATCCTCATGAACAACATCCAGCAGCTGCGGGTGCAGCTGGAGAAGCTCTACGAGTCGATGGGCGGGAAGGCCCTCGAGGAGGACGCCGCCTCCATCCTCAACAAACTCCAGGACTCGCTCAACGGCGTCCTCGACGAACTCGCTCATCTCTTCGCCGAAAGGTCGGCGTGGTATTTCGTTTTTTTTTTCCCGATATCGCTCGAAAATTTACAGTAAATCGGGTTTATTCAATTAATCGATAATAAGGCTGCCGATCGATTAAAAAAAGGAAGCCGATTTACCTTTGGAAATTTAATCAACCGATCGATTCATTTATCGGATTTTGATCTCGTCCCTAGCTCCTCACTCGAAGGCGAATGAAAGAAAATATTGATTTTTTTTCTTCTTACATGGCTTTCGCTTCTTATCGCATTATCCCCCGCTAGTGTTTACCTTTCTTAGATGTTCTTTCACCAAAGAAGTACTTTTTTTGCCGTCGAGAGGATCGTGGCAAATACGATTGGTTTTCTGCAAGACCGTGCAGGCTTCAAATTTGGCTACTTTCTAACGTCGTGATGAAAACATAATCGAGTTGTGGGTCGATGAAACTAATGGGATTGCCGAACTCGACGATGAGTATCTCCCGAGCGAATGAGTTTTAAGGAAAGCTCGTTCGATCGCTGCGAACAGACGAAGCGACGCTTCGACTGTCGATCGACGAACGAACGAGAGTTTTTGACGACGCCGACGTTCGTGCAGCCTGGAGGGCCGGATCGCAGAGTCCATGAAGGAGCTGGGGGAGCTGCTGCTGGCGGTGAAGCCGGGCGGAGGAGTGGGCGGAGTCGGCGGGATCGGCGGCGGAGGCGCCCTGGGCGTGGGGGTGGGGAGGAACGCCGTGACCGCGGATGCGGACGAGGTGCTTCGGCCGCTCATGGATCTCCTCGATGGTGGGTCGACCTGCGGTTCCGTCGGCGGTTCTCGATCTGGGGGCGAGGGGGTGCCGTGGGCGTCGGCGGCCTCTTTCGTTTGGCCCGTCGCCAAACGAAGGCGAGAAGGCCAATCGTTATTCGGGTAATCGAGGAGCTCTTAACGAAGCGAGCGGGGAACCTGTTTCGTAGAACGGTTTTCGAAGCGTCGCGCTTCTTCAGGAAATTGTGCATCGAGAGTAAATGATACGAAGCAATTTATTTTTTAAATTGTCTCATGAAGCGTAATATTACGCAATATTAGTCCATTTTCATCCAAATGGATTTTTCTTGCGTATTAGTAGAATGAAATTATAAGAAGAGAGTTCTATCAAGGAAGAATCACAATATCAATATTATTGTCGCAGGGAAGATCCTCGATTGGTTTTGCCGAGTGTATCTACCATCTCGTATTCTCGGTATATGAAAAGCAAATAGTACAGGTCCCATTGTGCATAATAAATTATCTAAATGGGCTCGCTCGAAAAATCGAGCCGTGTCTCGAGTTTCTGTTCGGCCAGGAGCAAATATTGGTATCCCGTCGACGGGAATTGAAAAATGAAAAGTTTGAATTATTCTTTTTGAAACCGATCGAGAATTACTCTCGTCTTGGTGAGTTCGAGGAAAGAAAAAAACTTTCACAAATGATCCCAGAGGTCCTGGTTTTCCCGACATTTACTTAGTAAGGCCTTCGTTCTCGTGCATCCGTGGAAGCACGAGGATGCCACCGATCCCTCGCCCCCCAAAACGCGCGCGAAGTAGAAGGTCGAGGACCGCCGATTCGAGATGGACCGTCCGAGATGGACCGTCCGAGACGGAGTGAGACGGCGGTTTTTTTCCCCCAGGTTCCCTGTCCCTCTACGCCCAGTCGTGCGAGAAGACCGTGCTGAAGAGGCTCCTGAAGGAGCTGTGGAGGATCGTGATGCACACGATGGAGAAGACCGTCGTCCTTCCTCCCATGACCGACAAATCCGTGAGACCCCTTTTCGCTTCTTCGCGTTTTCGAGTCCCTTCGAAAGTCTCCAAACGGTCTGCTCGTCGAAGGCCCTGTCCTTCTCGGGTCGCGTTTCCCGCGCGGGAGAAAAATCCTGCCGGTCGAGTACGGTATCTTTTTTTTTATCGACGGTATGTCCTTTAGTGCCGAGGATTTCCTTTCCGAAGGTCTAGGTTTACCTGGAAATACGTGAGCAAGGGAAGATCGCACGGATCGCCGAGTAGAGACGGAATCGGGCCTCCGAGTCCCGGTCCGTCTCGAGCGCGAAGAGATCCCACCTCTGACCTCGATCGGCCTTTTTCGATCGGCGTGGCCCGCCACGAGAGGACGGGAACGCCGTGCGGTCGCATTCGCTAAGAGATCCAGCGCGTTCCGACGTTCGCGATCGATGAGGAAGAGGAAGGAGAGATCGACGAGGCGTCTATGGGACCGGGATGGGACGGAAATGGGACCGCAGACGAGGTGGGACGTGATTCCATTTCCCGGTTCGTTCTCGCATGCCTCGCGAGCCCTGCCTTCCCGGATCGGCCGGAAGATGGCAGCACGGCGGGGACGACGGATCGTCGCCCGTCGAAGCGCGTTCGCGAGGGATCTTCCGATTCCGATGGCTTCACGACGAGCCGGGGACGAAGTGACGAGGCGCGCGCGTCGCCGGATTCCGAACGGGGAAGATGCTCAAAGGCGCAAATCCCGGTAGAATCGATCTTTTACCGTTGCTGCGAGGCTCCATTTGTATCCTACCGGGCTCGATGTCGAGATGGCTCCGGCTCGTGGAAATTCCCCCGTGGATCACCTGTCACGGATGATTCCGAAGTGGAATCTGCCTCCTCGCGAGATCGACGCGGAAGCCATGTCGATTTCGATTCCCGTTTCGCGAGCCTCCCGACTTTCTCCATTAACGTCGATCGACGTCGCGAAGGAGTCGAAAGGTACCGACCGGAGACGTGCATCGTGTTTCATTCGGAATGACCGACTCGGCAAAGACGGGAGGGGCGAATGTGCCCTCGCCCCCCCCCCCCCCCCCCCCCCCCCCCCTGGGGGGGGCGAATGTCCCCTCGCCCCCCCCCCCCCCCTCCCCCCTTGAAAGTTCCCATCGTCTGCGTATAAGATGCGGAATGGCAGATTCCAGTCGTCCAGTCGACAGTGTCCGTTGTCCAGACCGATCCGACGGTTCGGCCGACGGCCTGCAGACGTCCGAAACGTGAAGGGGGCCCCTTTACGAGACCGATGAAGCTGGAACCGATCCAATCCTCCACGAGCGGCAATCATCACCGAATTAATCGAGAAACGAGATTACATTACCCTTCGGACGGCGCATTTCTCTCGTCGTACAGACATCGCATCGCGCACGAGCAGGGGAACCCCATGAATAGTTTCATACGAGGCAGAGGGGGAAGGGGGGGGGGGAAGGTGGAGGGGAGGGGGGAATCAGCCAGAGGCTTTACGATGCGAAAATCGCTCCCCAGGGCGTAGAGGATGAAGACGGTGCAGCGTTCGGGCCTCCTCCGGCCATGGAGGAGATGGATTCCTTCCTCGTGCATCGGCGCATCCCGGAGGTTCTCGGGGGGAACTCGAGAGATGGCATCCCCCATGCAGACGGCGGGAAACGTTTTAAACTCGCCAGACGGCATCGATTTCGCCCCGGGGAGACGCCACGCCGGCGGCTCTCGTTCGCGGCGGCTACGCGCGGGCTTTGCGTCTTCGGTCGCTCCGAGACTCGCGAAATCGGTATTTTGCCGCGTTCGAGTCGGAACGTATTTCGTGCGTTCTTGGATGCCGACAGGGTTTTATCATCGAATTCGCTCGCCTGTCGCGATCGTGAGTACGATCGAACTCGAAAAGCAGATGAATCCGCGAACGTAACTAAAGATGCGGAATCGTTTCGGAATTTTAATTTATGCATTTAAAAATAAATTACGAAGCGTACTCGACGGTTTGTGAAGTCGGTCTGACTTCGCTTCTCGAATCTTGAGGCTCCCGCTGCTGCTGTCGATGCCGGTTTTATTTCCCAGCCGCCATCGGCGAGCAGTCGAGGGTGTGCGTCGCGCAAGAAACGATGGAAGCCGTCTGGATCAAATATGGCGGAGGTGCCTTTGGAAGGCGCGATTCCCTTTCGGGCGGACTCGCGCGCTTGCCGCGAGGCCACCGACTGCCGAATCGTAGCTAAAGCGGTTTACCTTTTTCTGCGATCCGTTTACCATCCGGTGCATCCGGGTTCGGTGGTGTTCTGGACGGCCCGTGGATCTGCACCGACTGCGACCGGAATGCGAGGATGCGGAAGAAGTTCGCTGGCTTTGCGACGCTGCGGCAAGGCGAAACGGAAGAGAAGGAATCGACATTTTAAACGGGGACTCGTGACGGTGCGCCTCGAAGTGGAATCGAGCCTCGAGGTCGTCGGATGATCGTGGAAAGAATTCTCGTGAAGGGACGATGGGGGGATCGAAAGAAGCACCCACGAGTTTCTTAATGGATCGTGGAGTGGAAGCTCCTAATGGTTTCTCAGAGCGTCGAGAAAAGTTTCAGGGTCGTCGGAAGTGGTGGTACAGGGAAAACTTGCAGAACGCCCGAGAAACGGGGGAAAGGGGTTGAGGAGAGGGGGACGGGGGGGGGGGGGGGGGGGGCTTTCGTTGACGAAGCCATTTTGCTTCTCTTTTTCCTTGGAGGCGGTTCGCCGTTCTCGTGTTTCACCGCAAAGTCATTTCGAGGCCGAGTCGTTCACTCCGGCTCGTTCGAGGGTCGATCGGGGTGGATGCATCGACCCGACGCCGTTTCGGATCGACTGGGTCGTTTCCGAACGTTTCGTTCGACCGGATTCACTCGTTCGATCGAAACGTGTCGGTCGGGGGATGAAGCAGGAATCGGCATGCGTAGGGACGCATCGCCCAGAGGCACGAATTTCACTAGGACCCGATTTCGGAGGAAAGGATTCACCACGAGCGGGTTTCGGCCTCGATCCTTTGGGTTGCAGACTCGATCTTTGGGGCTGCATCTTCGATCCTTTGGGTTGCAGGCTCGATCCTCTCCTAGCCGTCGTGGTGCGAGGGCAACTCGTCGCCCCTCGGCGGGTCGTGGTTGCTTTCTTTCCGAAACGGGATCTGCCAGCGCCGGACGGTGAGCGCATTCGGGACGAAGACGGTGTGATGTCCGCTGGAATCGAGAAACGTGTATGAAATTTACTGCGCGATTTTGCAGTGGCGTGCCGTGAAATCGGTTGGAGTTTCGAGGCGATCGGGATGCATCGCGGTCGACCGACGTCGATGAAACGTTCGAACGAATCGGGGGGAACGTGGTCTCGGCACGGCCGAGCAGCGAAAGGAAAGAGCTCGGCGGAGTGGCTCGAAGGAGGAAGAAAAAGAAGACGATGAGGCCAGAGAGCCAAAAAAAAATAGGAGCGGAGACGGCACGGTCGTCGGAGCGGGACGGGCACGAGTGCCGCCAGGAGAAGCCGTCTCGGTTCGCGTCTTCGCTGCGAGAATTTCCCCATTTTTTATTTCGGCTGCTCGCAGACGCTCGTCGGACGGAAAGCGGTTCGTCGACCGACGAGCGCGATCGGGCTCCGGCGGCCCCACGAAGTCGCTCCGGGACTTCTTTCTTTCGCGCGTGCGAGTCCAAAACTTCGGTACGGGCGACGAAGGGCGACCGAAAACGGGTCGCGGCCGACTGCAGACGGTTCGCGTGCGGCGATTCGTCGAGCGTCGAGCGGGGTTTTGCGATGCGTCGCCGGAGCGGCGGAACGGGTACCGCGGGAGGATCGAAGCAGTCCTTCGGAAGGGGAAAGCAAGGGAAGCCACGACCCACCGTCACAGACACCACACCGTCACCTATGGGTGCACCAAATCTCATGACAGTGAGGGAGAGGGGGGGGGGGGGGGGGTCCAAAGATTAAAATGATTTCACCGGTTTTTACTGGGGGGGGGGGGGGGGGGGGGGGGGGGGGGGGGGGGGGTCCAAGGATTAAAATGCTTTCACCGGTTTTGACACTCTTTTTTTACCCCTTCCCCCCCCGTTCGTTCGTGGGGGAGACCGCTCCTTCTGTCCCCCCTGTTGGCGCAATGTACACACATCGGATCGCCCTCGATACCCCATTAGTCGTCGTTTGTCTTCGAACGCTTGCTCGTTCGATCGACTATGCATGAGGCTTGCCGTAACGATCCGACCGTGATCTTTTAAAGACAACGTCACCCGAGCCCCATTCCGGCATCGGTAGACCCGAAACTCGAAACCCGTCGTGAAAGAAGACTCGCAGCCTTTAAATAAATCGGTAACGACGAGACCGAGTCCATGGAATTCTCGGAAGAGCGATCGAACGCACTGCGCACGGGGCGCCCCCCTCCCCCTCTCCCCTCCCCCCATCGCGTTCGCATATCCGAGAAGATCGAGACGGGAAATGGAAGGAAATCCCAGAGGAGCCGCCGTGATTCCGACCGAGATGACTCTTTGATGGCTCTTCGATGACTCTTCGATGACTCTTCGATGCGGTCCCGTCCGACCCCGGTTCCATTCCGCGGCTCAGACGGTCGAGTCGTCTTCTTCCCCCGTTCCTCGGGCGATTGGCAAGTTTTCTCTGAGCCGCCTCATCCCCTGAAACTCTCCTCGATGTTCAGACACCATTAGGAGCTTCCATACCGCATGGCAAAATTGCATTCATGACTTCGTTCCGGGTCCTATTTTCGAGCGAACGATAGTAACCCCCTCTCCCCTCCCCCTCTCCCCTCCCCCTCTCCCCTCCCCCTCTCCCCTCCCCCTCTCCCCCCTTCACACGAGAGCATCAGGCAAAATTCTTCGTTCGGAATCATCATACGCCCTTCGAACTTGGATTCCACGATGCACCGTTAGGATTTCGATCGACAGATTTCGTCGATATCGTCGATGTCTTTCTCGGCGTCGCGATTCCGATTGCGGCCGGCGAAGCGAGAGGTATGAGGAGTAAAGGCGGTTGTGAGGGTGAAGGATGCCCGTCGTAAACCTCTTGCCATTCGTGCGTTCTGCAGAGATTCAGGAGGTGGACCTCATTACCCTTTGATGCCTGCCCGGTTTACCGCCTGTACCTGCATTCAGGACTCCCCCCCCCCCCCCCCCCCCCCCCCCCCCCCCTTCTCCCTTCTCCCCCTTCCCCCGGCCCCTTTTCGAGCGTTTGGTCGCGAGAGTGACGCTCCGCGAGCCTGCTCGTCCGGTCGGTGAATTCTCTGCGGGTGACCCCGAGGCGACCTCGAGGTGACCTGGAGGTGACCCCGAGGTGACATCGGAGTGGGAGGCTCGGGTCGAAGCGACTCGAGGCGCTCCGAGTCCGCAATGAGGGAGCCCGACTGGATGTGCCACTCGCGTGACGTCGTAATTCTCGTTTCACCCGCAACAATTTCCGGGATTTTCCCATCCCGCATTTACTGCGCAGTGGGGAAGGACGCGAGGAGAGTGGAATTAGGGTGCCTTTCAGCCGGGACGAGCACGGATGAGCGACCCCATTTCGTACATGGCATGAAAATTTGCATTCTTCTCGGGGAAGACGTTCCGGTCGGGGTCGACCTCGATCGTCGATGGGACGTCGCACGCGAAGACCGCGATTTTCGCCGTCCGCGACCGGCCGATCCGTCGATTTCCCGTCGCTCGTTTGCGCTCGTCGAGGGAAGAGCGCAGGAATGGAATTCCCGGAATTTCAGGAATTCCATTTCAGCGCTTCGTGTCGATTCATTCACGCGGCTCGGAGAGGCTGCAGAAAACCCTCTAATTGCCCCGAGTGCCAGCCAAGAAGGCAAACTCGATTTTCTTTCCACGTAGGAAAGGATTTTGTTTTATTTATTTCATCAACATTGCGTAGATTCTTCCCCCTTCGCACACCGTTCCGAAGAAATGTAAGCGGTCGCCCTGTCGAGACTCCCGTGAGAGTCCTCGCGTATCGCGTTACCAATTATGGAAGACGAAGAGAGCTCTCCGACCGCATAGAATTCGCTGCGATCGGGACAAAGGGCACTACAGAATTTTTTTTTTCTTTTTTTGCAAGTGGGATTTCGGCTCTCCTGACGAAGCATATTTTAGAAAAAATCTCCCATTCATCCAGTTACAAGAGGCTTACGGCTTTGTTCGATTAGTGGCAGACAAAAAAAAGAAAACTTTATGCTCTCTCTCGGTGTCTCGCGCGGAGCTGGGATCGTTTTCGTCGGGCGGGCTGGGGGATTCGCAAACAGAAAGGATCGATCGATGATTGCTCTCGGAAGCGTCGATCGGGTTTCCTCGCTCGCGGTGATTGTGCGAAGACGATGCGAGGCGGTTTCGAATGTCGATCGGGTTTTACTTGCGGTGTCGGGAAGTTTTGTTTTTCATCTCAAAAGTTTTGCACGAAAATTATTTTTGGAATCGGGGAACGCTGGGTCGCAGGCGCTCGTTTCTCGTCGGGTGTTTCGTCTTTTCGGTCGGTGTGACGCTTTCGGGTTTTTCACACTCCGAGGTCCGATTCGAGAACTCGGACGTTTTGTCGGCCGTGTCGGTTCGGTCAAGGAAACGAGAGAGGCTCGATCCGGTTAAGCTCGAAAGATCGCCGCTCGTCGGGGTCCTTTTTCTCCGTCGAGATGTTTTCCAGATTGGCTGCCTGGAGGGTTTTCGACATTCATTCCCGCGAAAGAAAGCGCCGCACAAAAGAGTTCGTCTCGATCGATTGGAGACTTTTGAATCGCGGGGATTTGGAAAATTGGATTTTTTTTTTGTCGCCACCCGCTTTCCTCCTTTCACTCGCTCCCGAGAAGAGAGGATCGAGTGTCTGAAATTGCCCTCCGATTTTTCTCCCCCGCCAGATGATCCTGAAGCGTTTGCGAGACGACGCACGGATCCTTGCCGCCAACGCCAAGCAGGGCGACGTGACCAAGATCCTGAAGAACAACCGGGACGTCCTCTCCGGAGTCATCGTGAGTCCCTTTCGCTTCCTCCTCCACCTCCGTCCCACCCCGCCCCACTCGCCTCCACCCGCCTTCACCCCTTCGACGTCGCAGGACATGTCGAAGGAGGCGGAGAAGAACCTGTCCCCGCGCCAGTGCGCCGTCCTGGACATCGCGTTGGACACGATCAAGCAATACTTCCACGCCGGCGGGAACGGGCTGAAGAAGACCTTCCTGGAGAAGTCGACCGAGCTGCAGAGTCTCCGCTACGCCCTTTCCCTCTACACGCAGACGACGGACACCCTCATCAAGACCTTCATCACCTCTCAGACCAACCAAGGTTCTCCCTCTCCTTCTCTCTCTCGAATTCCATCCACGGTGAGGATGTGGATCTTGAATGTCGGGCGGGGACGGTGTAGACCCGTTGAACAAGGAGAAATTGAAGGGGAATGCCAGGGCGGTCGACGGGGAAGGAGACGCAGCGAAACTCGCCATTCCCGAGCATCCTGTCAAAATCCTCCGTCAGGCAGAACAGGATAAGAAACGTGAGAGGCAGACGCAGGCAGCCAGGCACATGCTTTATCTCGTTCGGGGATACCGTATTGCTTTAGTTACTGTGTATTTGAATTTTAGTATAGCTAGTGCAGAGCCTACGGTTTCCCTCGTGGCATTACGTCGATGCTAGAAGCCGTATTCTCATACGAGTGGGAGCTGTGCCGTACTAGTATCCGGCTCGTGAATCGTCTCTAGAGGTATCGTAGTTGTGGCGGTTGTCCCACTTCCGGGAATTACCATTGCAGGTACTCGGTAGCTTCGAGCAGACGTAGGAGTCGTGAGAGAGAGTACTAGACCCTATTTCGTAGTTCGGAATTCCTTGTATATCGTGAATGCTCGGTACGAGGTCGAACCTCGAAATGACGTATCGCTGTGCGTTTTGGGGGTGACAGTGGACGCAGAGGCGGTGGAAGCGGAAGGGAGCGTGGGTGAGGTGTCCATCCAGGTGGATCTCTTCACGCATCCGGGCACCGGGGAGCACAAAGTCACCGTGAAAGGTAGGAATTTCCTTCGTCGTCCGGTCGCGTCGCGCGTCGAAGGGTCTCACGCATCGACCGTCGTCGCGCAGTGGTGGCAGCCAACGACCTCAAGTGGCCCGTGGCGTCGGGGATGTTCCGTCCGTTCGTCGAGGTGAACCTCATCGGACCCAACTTGGCGGATCGGCGGCGCAAGCACGCCACCAAGTCCAAGGCCAACAACTGGTCTCCCAAGTACAACGAAAACTTCCACTTGTACGTCGTACCTCCCTCTCATCCGTGGATCTTAAATTTGTTTTGCTTTTAGTTGGATGTTTCATTAGAAAAAATATTCAAGATTCGTTTTCAAACGGGCTTAGGACGCAGAACATTCTAATCTTGTCTTGGAGTTGGAACCTTCCGAGTCCCCTGGTACATACACGTGGACTGGAATCTTGATTGGTTATTCTCGTCGAACGCACGCGAAACAATATGAAGCACGTCATGTTCCAATGGCTTGCCGACTTCATGTTATTATCGTGGTCGTGGATATAAATGGAAACGATCAATTCGATTCGTTTTGTTGGAATGCACGTATGTAAAAATTATAGGGGACTCATGAGGTCTACTCTATATTTCATGAAAAAATAAATACTTTTAAAATGTTCATGGCAGCCATAATGGAAAACGTGATGCATTACAATCCTCCGACTGATTGAAGAAGAGAAGTTTGACTTTTACTTCAAAACAATACCACGCATTGGTGGTAACTAACACGGTCATTAGAGGCTACTTAGGCACAAAAACTGGAATGTTACTTTGTATCCTTATCGTGCGATGCTTGGCAAATAACGTTGCAGATTACATGTGACAAAACTTCATGATTCGAAGTCAAATATTCAAGCTGAGTTGTGTAGTTGGGAAGCTTGATCATTATTTCCTTTTTACACAAAATGAATGCTTTCTCTTTTGTATGGCTCTAGTACGAGTGTAAGGGCGCTGGGCACATGATAAAACAACATTGCAACTATTGTCCTGACATTTGGAGTTTAGTAGTAGCAGTTTTTACATTCAATGCTGAAATGGCACCTTGCTTTCCTGCATATGCATATTTTCCTAAATTTTAAGCATTTTTCATTTACTTAAATTATATATTTTGTATGTAGTTGCCCTGAAGGCATATTGATTTCATACTAAGTTCAAGCAATTGAGAGGAATATTGTCACCAACAGCATGATTGGGAACGAGGAATCGCCATCCTCCTACGAGCTGCACATCTGCATCAAGGATTACTGCTTTGCCAGAGAAGATCGTCTGGTTGGCGTGGCCATCATGCAGCTCAAAGACATTGTCGATCATGTGAGTTCATTAACCTTCATGTGTCCTCAACTCAAAAAATAACAGGTCAAAAGAAAGAAGCAAAGCTAACAAGAAAAACTAATTTGATGAGTAATAAAAACTAATTTTATGAGTATCATGAATTTGAATGTAAATATTAATTCTTCCCTGTAAACGAATGAATCACTTCCAATGGACGAGTAAGAGGAATAAGCCATCGTTGCTCTAGGGTTCTTGTGCGTGTTGGCTGTCACTGGGAAAGCGCATCCACATGGACGAGACAGGATGGACCATCCTACGAATCTTGTCTCAACGCACTAACGATGAGGTCGCCAAGGAATTCTGCAAGCTCAAAAGCGACGTTCGATCCGACAATCCCCTCCCGGTCAATTCCTGAAAAGATTCCTACCCTGCGATGACCTCGAAGCAGTACAAATTGGGACCAAAAATCAACTGACTGACACAGAGAGACCCATGCCACTTGGGTCTTTGGAGCTTCCACAGGCTGGGAGAAAAGAAATGAGATGTTGTCACCGATAACATCATCCTCATCACCTTGTCCAACCCCCCTTTTTCCAGTCATATCGCTTCTCCATTCCCCTGTTACTGTTTACAGAAAATGTTTTATGGAGTCTGTTTCCCCTTTAGATGTTCTTTTTGTACCCATCTCCCCAGGGAGTGGATATCGTTTGCTACACAAATCTGTGCCTTCTTCCTTCATGTTTGCATTCAAAGATGTTAAGGAGAAAAATTAAATGAGAGAAAGAGGAGAGAAATTTCACCCTTCCATGTACATAGAGATATTATGTGCTTCTCAAGGTGAGACACAATAATGAGAGTTTTTTTGTTGCACTCTATCTGTTGAAGCCAGTGTTCACGGGCTATGCCCCATGTCCTTCCCCCTCCCTGTGACATCAAATCCATACTGACATGGATTTTCATTCCCCTTGTGATTTTTTTATTATAAAGGCTACAGAATTCTATAATAAAACATGTCCATCACAAAAAAACTATCTCAATCAAATGTGAACAACAGCAGGCAACAAATTTTTCATCCCAATAAGGCTTTGATCGATGAGTTTGCATGGCATATCTGAAAGGGTTTCATAAATGTGGATAGGGGAGATCACAGAAGCATACCTGAAATTATAAGTATGGAAATGAAGTGTTTATAGCTACTGCCAAGTGGGTCAAAGCTCAGGTCCAAGACGCCACTTATAGAGAGTGAATCCAAGTGTCATGGCACCCATGACCATGGCTGCCACCTTCCATGAAATGCGCTGGGAAAGAAAAAATGAATCTTTAGAGATAGAGAACCATGAAAAGCCTCAGACAAAAAGATGGAAGACAAACCCAAGATGACTTGGATTGCTTGGCTTGCACAGAAGAAGAGCTGTTCTCAGAGTGCCAGTGTTCTCGAAGCATGTTCCGATAAAGACTCTTTTCCTCTTGACGCTCTGCCTTGCGGCGACCAAGAATACGGGAAAGCTCGTTATGGATCATCTTTTCTGAAGGATCCAACTTGTTTGCCTTGCGCAGGTAATCCAATGCCTCAGATGTTTTCCCTTGCAACCCCAAGACCTATTTAAGTACACAAAGGCAACAACTTGAAATATTAAAAAGTATTCTTTACATGCCAGCCTATATAGTTTGCAACCAAGATTATACCTTTCCCTTTCGAAACAGAGCCTTGACATTTTCCGGTTCACACATGAGGACAGCATCCAGAGATCGGATCGCAGCTTCATAGGCCTCCAGTTTCATTTGAGCGGCAGCAAGGTTATTATAAGTCTTCACGCGCTCCTGCAGGATATTTTCGACTTCAGGTGGGAGTTCCTGTCACATCAAGGGCAACAATTCACTGTAATGAAGCCACTGGGCCTAGTTCTATAGCAGATGGAGCAAGAGGAACCTCAAGTCTTTGTTGCACGGGACGTTCATCACGAGGGTCTGCAATGTCAGTGTTGTCATCCAGCAAGTCGAGAGCCTTGCGATAACACTGAACTGCAAAGGAGTATTCTCCACGACTAAACCAGAAATTTCCCTTCTCCCTCCTCCTGGTTCTGAATGGCATTAGGTATATTAGGACCACTCATACATCCAAGTCATAGAATGAGAAAAAAATTACCCCAATGTCATTCTCTCAGACAGAGGGAGCCCTTCGGGATCGGGTTCGGGCCCAAAGTCTTTTAAGTGGATGGTAAATTTTAGAGTGGCATTCTTTGGGATGTCTGGTGGACGGCCCAATTCTCCAAAACCAAAGCGAGGGTCAACTGTGATCTCTGCCTTCTCACCTCTCTCCATCAGAGGAATGGCCAGATCCAGGCCTTGTACAATCTTGGGAACAGGCATAGAATGTTTCCAACATGAATGGATTTTTAGCTATAGAATGTTGTAACATATAGGATAATAGAGAAAAACAAACCTCATTATCACCCAGGGAGAAGGAGAAGTCCCGGTATTCTTCCACGAGGCCTCCACCCTCAAGGAAGAGTTGTATGTCAGTTGTCACTCGATCAGTTCTCTCTGGACGTTTCTTGGAATCCCCTTTCTCTAAGATCTACAAATAAAAGAACAGAAGAGAAGCTTTCTCCAAATCTAAAATCTTCTGAGAATTAGGGATGATGACTCTCTATAGAACTCACCTTCTTTAAGAGTTGCCCACTCCCAAGAACATCCATCACTTCATCCTCCTCTTCCTTTAGTTCTGGTTCAATTTTCTCATCTACAGCAGATGCAAGCCTTCTATCTTCATTGACAATATCTGGTGCTTCTCTTTCTCCTTCCCTGGCATTGGATGGGACATTTGATTCAAGAATGTCCATTGCTTCATCTTTCTCCACATCCTGAACAGACGTTTTTGGTTCCACTAGCTCATCAGTGCCAATGGTAGAAGTTAGCTTCTTATCCTCATTATTGACCTCTCTTGCATCTCCTCCTCTATGTTGAGCTTTGTCTTGTGCATTCAGTTCTTCAATTGCTTGGCTGATGGTTTTCCTTGGCTCCTCCATGTGGGGGTCCATATCGATTTCATTGATACCCACTGGGAATTCTGTCACAGGATCCATCATTAGAGGAGATGGACTGGAATGAAATAAATGGAGTTGCATGAGAAGCTATGGGGTAGGATTCTCCTATCATAGATCACATGAACATTTGTACATTTCCTCAGAAATCATGCAATACTGGAAGTCACAAATTTCATGAGAGTTCTCAATATAAAACAAGGCTTGTCCTTGTCTCACCAATGAAGCTATTGCTATTATATCTTGTCACATGCACTGTGGTTAAATGTACTGGACAAAAGCCAGGACCATGTGGTGTATTTGGTATCTCATTTCCCAATATGTTACCTACTCTGAAACAAGCTGATTATCTAGTCTAGAATAATTATTTAGATGATAATCTGGATAATCTAGGGTATGCAAAGATAACAGCTTTGCCCTTTGGATGATCAGCAGAGAGATGAACTCAGAGGCAGAATGAGAATATAGGTACATGTAGAGAGATGTAGGCATTCTCTGTTATACTGAATATTGCTTTGCTTAGGTCTCAGATTTTTACTTGCATGACTGATGTGTTTGAATGCACGTTAGAAAGAAAAGAAATATAATACATTGCTCAAATAAAGGTCAATAAAACTTCATGGTTTACTGTCAAAAGCAACCCAAATAATCTAACATAGTTAATTGGTACCTTTTATGCTGTATTACATAACTCAAGTAGCCATTATAGAATATCACAAATTAAACTGAAGGATTCTCATGGGTGAATTCATGGGTATTTAGGCAACTGTCATCTCATACACTGCAAAATAATTTGCATGCATTCAATGTGCAATTCAATGTATATTTCAATCTATAAACAAAAAGCTAAATATAGAGGGATAAGAATAGTCATCCAAGGAAATCATGTCTTAGCCATGTAAAAGTTAAAAAAATGACACAAACAGCCCTTCCTTACCTTATAGAGATGAATATTAACTCATTACATTCCTCAGAAAACAGGAAATGTATGAAACAATTACTAGAAAAGTGAAGTGTCATCAAAGATGCAATAACTCCCTCAGTCTCCAATGTTTACAGAAGAATTCAACTGGAAACAAGCTAAACCGATTTGGATTCCTTTCAAATATAATCAACGCCACCTCCTCTAACCTAATATAGGCTTAACTGTAACCCGAGAATACAGCACTGAATTTACTTATATTGAATGTTATGCACATATTTTGCACAGATTATTTAAGGAACTAATGAGCATTAAAGATACATTAGAATATATCTCTACATTGTTTCTTATCTTTAATCTGAAAGATACCTTTTGATAGACCCTCTATCTTAAATCAAATTAGCACTGATAACAGCTATTTCTGAGAGAATAGAAGAGATACATGCATGAAAGCATTTACCCTAGTGTGATTGCTGCATTCACTTGGAGAAATCAAGGTGTCCAATTGATTAATGGCATACAAAAGTGAAAGGAGATTTGAGAGAAAGGTAGGAAAGAGTGACTGCATGCACCAGAATCACACTACTGTATTCGTTAGAAAGGCTGTGATGCTTCAAGCAGCTTTTTTTCGCCTTCTGTTCGAAAATATTGGATAGCTCAATGCATAGACGCATGAAATGTGAAGTAGGGGACACATTGGTTGGATAGGACAGGATCCAGACCCTGTCGAGTGCTGTGGTAAGTAAGGCACAATTTGGCCTGCAATTTTTACAACTAAACCTGATAAAACCAGAAACTACGCAAGATGTTTAATCTGATAGAGACAGGGCTGTTCACCTACACAGTCCAGCCCGTGGATGCGTCCGAGGAGAAGCCTACTTAGGGAATGTCGGACGAAGTTGCCAAAAAAGGACGGTCTACCTCCATTCAGACGCAGGTGGCCATGTGAGGCTCATTCCAGACAGGGTTCAATGTTGGCACTTACGTTCCCCACGTGATGAATGATATTCATGACACTGAAACGCGCCTAAATTAAACAAAAATACTATTTTTGCTATTTAAATAAATTTTATATTAATGTTGGTATGAAATTTGAATTATAAAGGGAAGAACTTCCAGCTATTACAAACTCCCCCTTAGTATAGAAATACGGATGTAACAACCAATGCTCGTATCAGTAATTCAGAGATTGGACATCAGATGTCATCCTCAGCGTCTCAAACCATGGACCCACGTCGTTGTTGTATCCATTACTTGTTTTTATTCGTGAATTCTCATGCCTGCTTGGGTCCTTTTGTCTAAGTGGTAGGAGTAGCGATGCCGGATAAGTGGCGCTATTCATAGGTCATGGTTGGGTCGAGATCAAACGTTGGCGATTGCTCAGTTTTATCCTTTGTGCTTGCATAGAATGCTGTTTTCCTACTGAATACGTATTAGCAGGAACGCTTCCACCAATTTCATGTAGTAACACCTTCCCCAGAGGTGTTTTTTTTTTCGGATCGTCTGACGAAGCAGATCTGGAAGATGTGGTTTCTTAGTTCACCACCTCTAGGAGTTAACGAATTCCATCTGAAAGGAGTGTGTAAGTGGTAGGCTTAAAGCACGCATCTTTCTTGCACAGCTTCGCAAGGTTTGCTTAACGGCGGGAAAACAGTTCCTTCCAACCGTACTCTAGTTGCAATCGTTATTTGATTATCTGTTTGACCACTCTTCATACCCAACAGAGTACTTTGAGCGGAAAGATCCAATTATCTGTCACAGGGCTCACCATAGAGAAACTACTTTCTTCCCCCCCCCCCGCCCTTCCTCTCAATTGCCCGAGTTGCCATAGTGAATTCCTCCAGTCATCAGCACGTTACCATCCTGCCTACTGAAGTAAATGAACTTACTTCAACAGATTCTAAGGAAAAATCTGGAGTTAGGCCCATACAGTGATATGGGTGCTCCCCCTGTCCAGGTAGCGTGAGGCTTGAGGCATGCAGTGAACCCAAAATGAGTGCAATACCTTAGCCTCATGAAACTCCTACTGATGGACCCAAATCAAAGATGAAATAGTTATTGAATTTCACCAAGGAACCAGGATTGAATGTACATTTGAAAATGTGCAACTTGAACCCCAATTTTATTCACATGATTCATGTTGCATCCCCTCCACTGTCTTTAGCAAGATTCAGGACTCGAATTCTGCCAGATAATTTCAGCAGTAAAAACCAGTTTATTCCACTTGGTTTTGTCAGCTTTTGCACATGAAGACTGAAAATTACTGAAAAATTGCCTCAAAATCCTGATTTCCTGCTGTGATGACCTGCAGCCTCTTTACTCAAGTTTGAGAATTATCATAAGCCAGGTAGAACTCATATTAAAGCTTGAACATAGAACAAACCACAGCATCAGTGAATTAATGGAAGCATAATCATAGGTTGTCTTAATCGATTCTCATTTCTTCACACATTCAGTTTCTCTCAATCAGAGGAGTGGCCCCCTCTAAATAGTACATTTGCATCTCTTTGTTACTTTATAAACATCAGCTACATGGAGCCTATGTAGGACCTACCTTCCTTGTAGTCAGGTTTTGATTCAATTCATAATGAATCTAAATAGAAATATTTGGAGATTGACAGAATTAAAAACCATCCCCATGAGACCCTGGGGATGCTGGTGGGTAATGAGGTGGGTAAAAGTATCAAAAGGCAAATCAAAATAATTTTTTCTCCCAGAAGCATGATATTCATACAGGAGGACAATGGAAAGGCAACTTCTTGAGATTTGTGAGAAAGAGCTCCATGGCAAAAACTAATTATAAAGTGCTCACAAATGCTTCTAAGCTACCAGCTTTTATAATTGTACATCACTGGATTCATTATTAGGTAATGCTAATGAGGCACAAAATGTTAGACTGACTGCTATACATCCTAATGACTTGACCCAGACTTAATATTATGCTATGTGACTGACTAGATGCTATGATTTAAAGCATTTAAGTATATTTTGATTTACTGTAAGCATAGGCCTCACTTTGGGTTCTGGCCAAGCATAAGCATAAAGTTATATTCTGTTAAATTTTTCTGTGTAGGAAATGAAGACAAAAACAAGCAAGGTTGAGGTTGATAGCAGTTCAGAGGATTCAGACTCTGATGATTCCTCTGTGGAAGAGTTACGCCCGCAGAAAAAAAGGGCTGTGCTAAAGAATGGTGAAAAAAGTGACGGAGAGCTGGATGAAGATGATGACAAAAAGAAACACAAGAAGAAGAGGAAGAAAAAACATCGTCACAAGCATAAGCCCAAGCAGAAGCATGCAAAGCATGAAAAGTGAGCTAAAGTAGTGATTTTATCTTGCATTTATTATTTCATCTAAGTGATGCATTTTCAACTTGCTCTTACACTACTCTTGACAAGGACATTACTTATGAAGATTCCTTGGCATAGCATGTTTGTGGGGCTTTTGGACCTAATATAAGTAGTCCACATGCACCCTGCCAAGTGTCTAGGTATAAATATTTTGTGAATGGAGATTGCCATCATGCCCTTCTAAAATATGCCATTTTCAGAATTCTTATATTGGATACATTGCCCTTGTCCTCCAACATTTTGTTTTACCTTGCTCCATAAGGGAAGGGTTTGGCTTGGATCTTGTTCTTTGAGTTTATACTGAGTATTAGTATCAATTTTAAAGTGATAGTTGTTTACTTTGATTTTTTAGACATAAGCATAAACACCATGGGAGCAGTAAGAAGAAAGTCAAGAAGCTGGAAGAACCTAAACCTGTTGCAAAACAACCTGAACAGTTGAAGAAAGCTGTGAAAAGCAAAACTGCCCAGGCTCTGGATGCCATTGAGGTATTGAGCCTGCATTTGCATTTGAAAAGATTCATGCTGAGCCTTATCAGCATTATTTCCTTATTCTGTTTCTCATATGCAGAAGAAATTAATCCAGGAAGAGTTGTTGAAGGAGAGAAATATCTTCATGGAAACAGAGTCCATCTCTGATTCAGAAACACCTGGTAAAGGAAGTGACATTGGGTCAGATGATGTTCATCTTCCTCCTGCCAGTGAGGATGAGGAACTGAATCTTGAAGAACTTATGAAGCAAAAGGCAAGTGCTATCATTTCTCCAGTTTCTGATGACTCTGTCAAATGGCATACCTTGCAGAAAAGTGATGCAATGGTTAGGACTATACTTTTGTCCTTACTGCAAGAAATCTATTCCTATCATATGTTTTCCTTGTTTCACTGATATTGATAAACCATTCCATGTTCAACATAATCTCTTAAGTAAGCAGAAAATTTACAAGTGTGTAATAGTGTCCATTCTTCATGAACAGACATCCTTTAACCTCATATGGAGTACCCAAAAAGGATTTTTCAGGAGGCGGGGGGGGGGGTGTGCTGGATGGGCTACCATGAACCTTTTGTCACTTTCATGTTAGTTGCATGAAACCCTCTTGTCTTGATGTATTTCTTTGCTCTCATTCGCCCCATTTTCACTCTGGAGTGATGGCTTGGGTCAGGTCAAGTCTTTGTAGGATGGCATCCTGCCCCATTTTAGGCACTGCCTATGGCAAATATAAGACCATCAATGTAATATTTCAAAATGCCTTTTGAAAAACAGGAGCTGTTACAGAAGGAACTAAGTGCCTTATCTGAAAAAGACAAAGGTGTTCGTCAAGAGATAGAGGGGAGTGAGAAGCGCAAGAAAATTTCATCACCACCACTTACAAAGAAGAGGAAAAGGAAGCTTTCCTCTGGGTAAGCCCTACTTTCCAGTCATGTTTCTTTTTGCCTTCAGAAGTTTCTCTCATTAAAATTGGTCTATACAGGTCGAGCTCAGACTCTGAGCAAAAGCAGAAGAAGCAAGCCCCATTGAAGGATGAGGTCACATTCATTAAGGAGGTGAAAGGCTCCCACGATCGACGGAAGAAGGACGATCATGTCTTCAAAACACCACGTGAAGCAGGTCGTTCTCCAAGGGCTGACCCGAAAACCCTTACTCGACCCAATCGTTCCCCTGCTGATCTTAAGGCAGCTGACCATAACCGAAAGCCTTCAGAGCAAGACCGCAAGCACTCTGATCAAGATCGCAGGCTCTCGGATCAAGATCGCAAGCACCCTGATCAAAATCGCAGGCTCTCAGATCAGGATCGTAGGCACTTGGACCAGAGTCGTCGGGAGCGTGAAGAAAGAGATAGGCCTCGATCACGTGATGCCAGATCCTCTTTGGATGTCAACAGGGACCAAAGAGGATCTGGGGACTATGACCGTAGACGCTTACGTGAAGCAGACCGTCGGAGGGATGATGATAGACGACCGTCAACAGATCGATGGAATGAACGAGAACGAGTTGCAGGCACTGAACATGAACGTGACCGTGAGCAACATCGAGACTCCGATAGGATTCGATCACTTCGCCCAGGAGATCGAGATGCTGATAGGAGAGAAGCAAGAAGATCTCGGTCTCCTTATGATAGAAGACCTTATGATAGGTCACATTTTGGCCGCAGATCTCGATCTCCATACAGAGGAAGATCACGCTCTCCTTATGCGAGGTTAGTTTCATTCAGGGAGTAAGACTGCAACCTTCATGTGGTGCTCCTGTTAAGCGTTTGTGCGTGTAAATCCATTAACACAACTAATGTCGTCAACTGGCCACCAGACATCGAGTCATCGATCTCCCGGTATGATCAGCAACAGCAATGCCATACACAAGAAGTTTCATTCGCATATTTTTGCTTAGAGGAACAAAATATGCCAACTTATACTTTACATATATATGTAAAGACACCTGAATATGAGGTTGTATGGAAGAGGATCACCTTTATCATATGTGATAGCTCTATTCTGTGTCTGTTGTTTTCATCTCTCCATTTTTACCCTGATATTCTGTAAGAGGTCAAAGAGTAGCTTCCTTTGTAAACAACCTGTATGTTACAAATCCTATCAGGCTTTCCAGCAAATTTTCAGGTGTTGATGGTTGATTACACAGGGACCGTGGTAGAGATTACAGAAGTGGAGGTCAGGGAGGCCGTGACAGGTATCGGGATCACCATCGAGAGGACAAGTTTAAGGGAAGCCTCTCCGAAGGTCTCAAGATCGACTCCTCTTCTGATGAAGAGAAAGGGTCTGCCTCGTCCTATTTTACTGATCAATCTAGTTTTTGCAATCCATACTGCATACCCTTGGGACTTATTCTATTTGTTCTTTCAGGGAGGAAATTGACATCAGCTCAGAAGAGGAGGATGAAGAGGCCATCATTGAGAAGCGACGAAAGGAGAGGGAAGAACTTTATAAGGTCTGGATTGCATCTTCCTTCTGGTTGAGGATAAAGTAAAGAAGTCCTGTTTCATGCAAGTTGTATATTGCTTGCAGAGGCTTGGTGCAGCAAATGAGGACTCAAACATGTCTGCTGCGAGCTCTCGTGTCCCCACACCACCTGAACTCCATATAATCGGTTCTAGTCTTAAGGAGAAGGACCAGGAAAAAGAAGAGGAGCAGAAATTGAGGAGGAGGATTGAAGAGCGCATCAAAAATAAGAATGATGAGGAAAAGGAGAATGATGGGGATATGTTCTCTGAGAACTATCAGGTCAAGGTCTGTCATGTTCTTACAGTTTAAATAACAGCTCTACTTGTTCTTGATTCAAATTTTGACTTCATCAATTCGATAGAGTCCTGGGAGCATAGAACCAACAATGGGTTTCAAGGATACATCCCACGTGACAGACGCTTGCGACGACAAGGAGGGTTACTACCGGGTTCGCATTGGAGAGGTTTTGGATAACCATTATACTGTCTATGGGTACACAGGGCAGGGTGTGTTCTCCAACGTAGTCCGGGCCCGAGACATAGCCCGAGGGAATCAGGAGGTTGCCATTAAGATCATCCGTAACAACGATATCATGTCCGTCTTCCTCATCTTTCTCTTTTTTTCTACATGCAGATGATTTTCATGACAACTTTCTGTTCAATAGGCACAAGACAGGCCTAAAGGAGCTAGAAATGTTAAGAAGGCTGAATGATGCTGACAGTGAAGATCGATTTCATTGCCTGCGACTCTATGGCCACTTCTTTCACAAGGGACATCTCTGTATGGTCATGGAGTCTCTTTCCATGAACCTTCGTGAGGTGCGGCTTGTTTGAAGCTTATATCTGTTGTGTTATGGTGTTACCTCTGTACTTTGTAACCTGTTCAACTTGATTGTAATATCAATCCATTATCAGGTGCTGAAAAAGTATGGGAAGAATGTTGGCTTGCACATCAAAGCAGTAAGATCCTACAGCCAGCAGCTTTTCCTTGCCCTTAAGCTCCTCAAAAAGTGCAGCATCCTTCATGCAGACATCAAACCTGACAATATCTTGGTACCTTCTTTTATCTTTTTTTTCTTTCTCCTTGTTTGAAAGAGATCACGATGACTGACCAATGGTAACATCCAGGTAAATGAGAGCAAGATCGTATTGAAGTTATGTGACTTTGGATCGGCATCCCATGTGGCAGAGAATGACATCACTCCATACCTGGTGTCCCGCTTCTATCGTGCTCCAGAGATCATTCTTGGCATCCCATATGACCACAACATTGACATGTGGTCTGCTGCTTGCACCATATATGAACTCTACACAGGCAAGATCCTCTTTGCAGGGAAGTCCAACAATCAGGTACTTATCGCTCAACTATGTGCTTTATGCTATGCATCCTTCTCACATTACCATGAAATAGATGCAGTTTAAAAAGATATGAAGGGGGAAAATGAGTGTAATATTGAAAGCCCATGAAGAGTTTGTCATTGTTTTACAATGTCAAACTGGAAAAAAGTAGGCTTCATTGATAAAGGAACTAATTTTTTTTGCTCATATAGACTTCAATGAAAACGTTTTGAGGCTGTCAGGATACTTTTTCTTTTCCAAGGATTGCATTCTATTATATCCAAATGACCAAACGGGAACTAGCAGTGCAGAATTGCAGATATCAAATTGCCTATAGCTTCCATTCTTTACAGTTTCAAGAAAATGTCTGAAATGCCTATCATTCCAGAGAAGTAAGAGAATATTGGATTGGCCTTCTGAATATGTAAAAGTTATGAAAAACTTGATGATTCTCAGGATTATTATCATAATTAGCATATGATTTCAATCACTTGATGAAAAATCGCATGGAAAATCCTTCAAGTGAGGGTTTCATCCCCTCATTGGAAAATAAATGCAATTCTCAGAACAGAAAATTATTATTGGCATACCATAGTAGTTGGTATTGGTTTCCATTGCCTATGATTTAAAACTACACGTAATACTGAATGCCCGGGAAGTTTTAGCTATGCACCTTAAACATTCTCAGTGTGTTATTTTGTGGATTTTAAGGACTGTGGTGTTGTGTGTGCTGCAGATGCTGAAATTCTTCATGGATCTCAAGGGGAAAGCTAGTAACAAGTTCATTCGGAAGGGTGCCTTCAAAGACCAGCATTTTGATGACAAGTGCAATTTTCTCTACCGGGAGATTGACAAGATTACTGAGCGGGTGTGCTTCTCCTTCTTACCTTCTGACCTCTCTTCCAGAGATGGAGTTTGAATTGCAATAATAATAATTTACTTTCTTTATAGGAAAAGGTGACATTGGTATCAGTTGTCAATCCAACCCGCGATCTCCTCGTAGAGCTCATGGGAGCTCAAGTAGTAATTCCTGATGACCATGCCAAAAAATTGGCTCAGTTGAGGGACCTCCTGGACAAGATCCTCATGCTGGATCCCAGCAAGCGCATCTCCATCAATCAAGCCCTCATGCATCCTTTCATACAAGAGAAAATGTGATCATCGCATTATTGAATCTGTACGAGTGAACTCCAGTGGTTGCGTAAGTCATGGTGTTTAAAGAGTTGAACTCATCCTCCCATGTAAGTTCACTTCCTTCTCAGGGGAAGAAATGCTGGGAAATCATGTCAAGTGAGGGAACATGTCATTGGGTGATACAATTTGTGAATTTGTTTCCGATGTTGTGGGCGAGAGAGAGAAAAAGTGGAGGAGAACCCAGTCGGGTCACGACACGACCTGTCTCATCTCTCTCGATCATTCGACCAAGGGTAAATCCTTTGTAAGACCCCCACTACATACATTCATTTCCATACTGTACATGTTTGGAATCCATCCTGTCACACATATATGATAGTCCTGTTACAATAAATGTCAAAAGTGACATGTGAATCATGGCTTGAGTTTCTGTTTGCTCCTCTGCTTGAGGGAATCCAAATTCTGTAATTGAATGTTTGTTGTTATAATGGAGAGGAAACCGGAAGGCTGTTGAGGGGACATGGAGGAGGCCTTAGGATTCCCTCAGGCATGGGAGGAAAAGCAAGAGACAACCTAGCTCACTTGCATTCCATTCTTTCCTATGTGAAATGAAGCTCACCACTGTTTCTTGCTTCAACTGTTGCATTTCAGTCAAGTATGATTGTATGATGTTGGTTCAAACTGGAAATACTAGGTAATGGTTAATGGTCAGTGAACCATCTAATTAATTATGCTACCAATTTTGGAAATGTAATGCCTATTAACAATTTTGATACAGCTGGCTTTACTAAGTAATTGCTTATTTGAGTTGACTTTTCATCATACAAATGCAGCATTACAATTTTGAATCTTTTGAATAAGTGAGTGAGTTTGAAAACTTGAAACTATTATAATTCAGTGGCTTAATTCATCTGTGAACTGAACTGGAAGCTTCCAGAAAGCTTCCAGTCTTTCAATGTCTCCCAGGCTGGGTTGAGAGGTAATCATGCCTGAACATGAGTCCAGGTCTTGATGCCTTAATTCATATTCAGAATTCTGCTGCCGTGCTCTATACTCCAGAATCTGTTGCATAGCATGTAACTTCTGAAAGATTTGCTTGCAAAATGGATTCTGGACTGTTGAGTTTTATTTTCCATGTTTGAGCTTTAGTTGCCATCTGGTGACAGACAATTACTAGTTTTCATTTTTTTGGTTTCCTTTCCTTAACGATGAGTCATGACTCCAAATTTTCATTGGATATGCTTCTATGGAGTTCATTTTTTAGCAGGGTTGTAAAAGAGGGGAGATGGAGAGGAATGATCCAAGGGAGAATGATGGTGTTTGCATGTTTGCATAGGAAGGAGAATTGGGATAGAGGTTCATGAATGATGATGGAGGAAGTGAAAATGGGAAGAAGAGCCAGTGTCTCACAGAGAGACAGTGATGTCGATGTGATCAGATGGTTTGCCAAAGGCCAGTTTTCCCACCATTCAGGCACTTAACCCCTTTTTCTCCTCGGCATATACGTTCATCCAACCTTCCTCCTCCGCTGCTTCTCTGGCTCGTTTTCAGAGCGGCAAACTCTGCTCCATCGTTCGCGTTCAGGGTTACCACTTTCGCCTTTATGCACGTGGTGCAAGTGCCTGAGGAAGCGTGGAAGGAGAGGAAGTGTTGGATCCAGCTAGGATGAGAAATGATCATTTCCATTAAGTTTACTCTGTAAGGAAAGGACAAAAGTGTATTAATCGAGGGGGTGTTTCCCCCTCTCGTGTTTCTTCCCTTGGACAGAAAGAATCTTCTCCTGGCCCTGGTGCAGGAAGAGACAAACTCATCTTCACAACTTTTGGATTGCTGCTGTCATTCGCCTCCATTCATCTGCCACTCATTTCCATCCTGTGTCTCAGGCCTGATTGTTTTTTCTTTTGATCAGAAATAAAGACTATTCCTTGAAATCCTTGTTTTTTGTGCTAGCTGGAAGTCAATCAATTGGCCTGCAGTATTGCAGATTACCTTGCTTAGTTCAAAATATGTGATGAGGCATTCTAAGCACAAGAATATATTACTCTCTTTCCTGCTCTGTGTAGGCATACACTGCTTCAAGGTAGAAGCCTGGAAATCTTGGGTTCTTGGGTGTCTCCAACCTATACAGCAAGGTTGTTATGGGAAGGTCAGTTTTTTGGTGGGACAAAGCTTTTGCCCCATTATCAAGAATTTGACATGCCCCCTTCCAAGCATATTGTTATCCAGCATCCTTATAAAGCTAGCTTGCAAAAAATTTTCATGGAAACCATTTCTCCAATAGTATATGGAAATTAGTTATAGGATCGACTTTTTAAAGTTTTTGAACCCAAGCAAAGTGTGATTCTGGCAATTGAGAAGGCCCAGGGGATTTAAAATATGCTTGATACCTTGATGCTGAGTTGCTGTTGCTCAACTTGCCCTAATTTGAGGCAGTAGCCAAGAAACTAAATTCAACATTAAAAATGGCAATTTTTCTGTCTTGGAAATGAGGGAAAAATATATATATTTGGGCAAAGTGGTTACATCGCATGCTTGGCTTTCTCTGCATTTTGATGGGAATTTTGCAGTTTTCCTTGTAAATGAATGGAGGAGACTTGGAATAAATGTGTATTTTCTGTTTCCAGTGCTATGCAGAGTCCCTAAAGGCAGGAATGAGAAGATTGTCAGTGTATTGATCCTAGCCTGAGTGTTTGGAACCCACATACCAATCTGATGGGAAACACTAAAGCCAAAATTACCTTAACCACAAAATTTTATCCTAAAGATCTAGTGGGGCTAAGTGACCAAAGTGGGTTATTTACGTTCAATTCCTCTGATTATTAACTTTTGCGACCCTCCATGTAATATGCCATATGAGGCGGATGGGCTACCCCAGGCAACCGTGGAGAGTCGTGTTTGAACCATTGGAAGCTCCATTTGCTATTTCAGGGTACTTGATCCTTTTTTTACGGGAGCACTTTAAAAACTGGCCACTCGCGATTTCACCTGCGGCATTGAATCCCTTCTAAGAAAGTTAAATTTATTTTACGCGTAGAGCTAGTAGACTACTCTGCAGACCTCGTTGAAGGAGAATCATTGGTGTGCGTACCCTTTCGATCGGTGACTTTTGGGCCGGAGTGGGCCGCCTCTTGTGTCCTCGAATTGCTGTCCCTTGGGAATCAGGCTTATGCACCGCCGTAGTCATTTCGTGCTTCATACGAATGAGATACGCGTGATCGCTCGACTGTTCCGCGTAGGTGAAAAGAGTGATAATGAAATAATGATCGCTGATCTATGATAGAATTAGATCTCTCGGTCGAACTGGGTGACGCCCTTGGCCTGCTCATCAGCCGAGCTGGGCGAAAACCGAACTGCGCATGCGCAGTTCGGACCATTTTTTCCTTCCACCCGCAAGAGGGCGCGGAGAGGAAACTTCCAGCCTTTCCATCCCTTCCTCGCGCTCGTCTCCGTTCATTTGTGAAATCTTGTGCATTCATGACAGATGATATCCGTACGAAGCTTAGTCACCCGATCGGCAACTGCTCCTGCATGCTAGGCCTACCGCAACTAACGGTTATCTGCGGCAGACAGACTCGTCCTAATCCCGAAATTGTATTCCGTAGGGTCTACGTCTTCATTCAGGTTTTTGCCTCAGAGTACGATCGTCTTACCACTATCGCAGCAATTTAGGATCTGCAGTTTCGAATAAAAGAGATTTCCAAATCATTAAGGAATTAAACATGACAGAAACAATGAGAGGGCGCTATCATTTATTTTTGTAAGTTCAATCGCCGAGATTGTGTGTTTTTTTATTATAAATATTATTTATTAGTATGGTTGCTTCCCCGATGTAGAAATTATAAATCTCCCTTGCGCAGCAATAGGTGTCTCTGGTGGGCGACCCCTGTCCACCTGGAGTCTCTCGGTCCTAATCGAGTGAATCGCATTCTCGCAAATTTGATTCTGAGAAAAGGAGGATTGCGTATCGTGTTCCCACCGGCCCCAAACGAAACGCGATGGATAGTTTCTCGTTTGGACCAGATGGACTCGTCTTCTGCCTAAGGGACTTCTCAAAGACACGAGAAACTGTGAAAAAACAGTCTTGGTCAAGCGTTCGTAGCGTGAGGACGTGTTGGAGGTTACTCTCGAGGTTCTGACAGCTAAGTCGTGAGTTAGTTGTTACCTGGCTACTTTGTAGCAGTATTCATAAGTTTTCTGATAGCTACCTCCAATTTCACATTAGATCAGTAACAATCAGCTTAATTACTTTAAGTATTAGCACATTACTCGTAGTATTCCTTTTACTACAAGGACTAGGACATTACAGTCTTACCGGGTTANAAAAAAAAAAAAATATATATATATATATAACAAAAATACAAAAATATTTAGCTTTAAGAGGGTTAGGCCTACCCTAAATTAAGGAACGCTTGACCTCGACACGTGATATCGAAATGGGCGAAATCGCCTCCTGATATCACTAACTCTCCTGACTCCTGAAATATAATTCAGCCGCAAATGCTGGTATAAATGCGGATCTGACTAGATATGCAATTTTCCATTCTGATTCCAATACATCGTTCGCCCCTGCTTGGTCCTGAAATAGTATCGAAAGTGCAATAACTGCGAGCTGCCTATACGATGAAATTAAAAGTTCCATTTGTCGTTCAAATTTTAAATGATCCTCGGAATGAGTTCCGCAAATACGAAAATGATGCAAGCGTGCGAAGAAAGCTAAGACACAAGAGCGAGAAACTCGCGAGTTGATTCCGTGGTTGAAAATCCGTCCAGAGGCCACCAGAGAGGAAAACCCCGAAGGGACTCGCCTCGTCCCTGCCAGAGGCTCGTGTCCAATCCCGATTGGGCCTTTATCTCGCCGTCCAGCCAATCACGTGCCGCGTTTGCTCTGACCTGGCCCGGCCCGATTCGACCGTCACTGTCGCGGGCGAGACAATCGTCTTGCGTGAGCTTTTCCGGCGTCATACATTCCTATAAAAAAGACGTCTGTGTCTCAAAGCTTCTCCGCCTTCTCGCTTGAACGATTTTTATTTCTTTGTCTTTTCTTTTGCATCGGACTCGGATATGATAGGCTTAACATAGGACCATACGAGGTGTATCCGTAATGGCTTATTCTCACGTGAAGGTGTCGTGATAGGGGCAAATATTCTTCGGGCGTGAGGAGGTTAACGTTAACTACCTCAGACCAGAAGAAAATATAAGCGATAGAATTTAGCACGCTCGGGACTGAAGAGATTAACGCACACAAAAACAGGAGTAAAGTCTTGATGCGTCATTTCACAGTCCTAAGGCTTTGATAGGACTAGCCTAACTTTAAAGTCTGCGCCTTTTTCTCGGCTTAAATTTGAATTTATAATTTATTTGCTGTTAAGACTTTCGTAGGCAAATATTCGACCTGTCTCGATGTAAGGGAAACATGGAGATAGGTTAGGCCTAAGTCATGATATACACTGAGCACAATCAATTTAACATTGAAATTTAGACTAGGACAGTGGCGTGCCCAAGGAAGGGGGGGGGGGGGGGCGTAACCCCCCCTTGGGATCCACTTTTCAGGTTCGATTCTCAAAACTTTTTTAGTTGGTCATATATGCTGGGTGAGTATCAAATGTTTCAAATGTCAACCCCCGACCCCCCACCTTCATTGAGATTTTCTAGGCACGCTAATGGCCTAGGATCCCGCTTGATGCACTCTTTCATACAAAGAACCTAATTTTCTCCGTATGCATTTCATGGATATTCATAGTGGATCCGTTCCAACGAGGGATGAAGGGAGAAGTTGTTATTGGAATGGCTACTCGTCTACTCCCTGTCTCTGCCGCGACTTTGGGATGTGCTCGTGCATTGTGGTACAGGCGGCACCGGAAAAAAAAATAATAATAATAATAAATAAAAATAATAATAAATAAACCATTTTCAGAGCACTAACTCTATCAGAACGAGGCTCAATCGCTCGAATGAAATTGCAATTAGACAATATTGGGATGTGAGGTCCGTGTTTTTTGCCCATTCTTCGATTTCCGCACGATTTTCTGTTTCCCAGCTGAGTTGTGTAGGATTTCTAGTTTAGTGTAAACGGAAACACGTGATTATGACCATGCTTTTAAGGTCGTCACTGCATGCTCTTTTCGGTAAATGATGCTTGAAAGTGTCGGCAATCCTTTCGTGCCACTCTGAATATTGACTTCTCAGAGCGCATGAGCGACAGAGCGAGTAACGAGAAGTACTAGCCAATAATAAAACGAACCTTCGAGACGAAAGCTATAGAGGGAGAAAAGAAGTGTTCGAGGTCGTAAAAGTCGCTTGGAAAACTGAGAGCACGCTTTGCCTTGGGCACCTCGAGACGCGATCTCGCACGTCGCTACACGTGAGGGCGACGAAGCGAGTTTGGAGAGCACGAGATTGCGATTTCGTGGCCGCTACGTCGGGATCAAGGGAAAGGAATTTGCTCGTGACCATTTTTCTGCGCCTGTCGACAGGAAGATTTTCTCAAGTACCGGGAAGCCCATACCGATCGTGATATTACTTCGCAGGTTTCCTCAGATGGTGCTCAATAATGGACTTGCTCGAGGGGAACGTAAAACCGCTGCCGTCTGACGAGGGAAAGGGAGAGAGAAATCCGCGGAGTCCTACGGGTTGGACAGAAATGACCGCTTCCGCGTTACTTGGCGACCTCGTCCAAGACGTGGTGTCCAATATTCACTTGGCGAGTTCGGATCCCACATCAGACGAGAACGACAGGCAAGCCCTCACGAGAGGCGAGTGGAGTGGAGGTCTGAGTAAGGGTGGAGGTCCGAGAGCGAATCGCTCTGAGGCGATTCTGCATCTCTTGGGGGCGTCGTCCTGCACGATTCTCTCTCATGTGTCGAAGAGACTTCCACTCGTAATTTGTCTGTTTCACCACGCGTGGTCTCGGGCCGTCGGGATCCCTTATGTAATGTGGATGAATATTTGGATTTTTTTTTTTACCAGTTTCATCACAATAATTCAATGAGAATAGAACTAGAATTCAGGAGTAATCCACAGCAGCGTTTTTCAACCGCTGCGAAGCTGCGGGTGGTCCAGAGAATAAATGAGTAACCCTAACAATGAAAGTATTTCATTAGAAGAAAAAAAAAGTAAAACAAAACAACCACATATCTCTTGCGTTATTATTGCAGCCTTGACAGGAAATAAAACGTACAATATAGCGCTCTCACTGATGTTCGTCTTATGAGAGACATCCTGAAAGTTGAATGGCAAGGTTTCATCACGTTTAGTGATAACATCATTTTGGGGATTTTTTTTTTTCCTCAAGAAGGATGTCTAAAGGAACACTGAAAATTAAGACAAGAGTAGTGACCACTCTGCCAAATATTGTCCTGCACCAAGTACGATGAAGCTTTGCCAGTGAACTTCAAGTCGCCTGTCAACACTTGTGAAAGGAAAAAACAGTGCACTATTACTAGAAATGGCTTGGGCCGGAAACTAGTTAACGCCCCTCGAACGTTTATAGTTGCCAGATATTAAAATCGATTTAAGTCTGAAGTAAGCCTGAATAAAAATCTCACTACTGAGTTAATAGCACTTTTTTGTAACAAAAAAGTTTGACTTCCTCCATTTATATATGGTATTTCGAGATCTTGCTCGGATAGTCAGACTTCAAAAGGATATCCGACTCACGATATCGATGTTCTTGCAAGACTTGTTAAGAGCTGAATATGTGCTGGCCTGGCCACGCGTTCAGAGAATTTTTGGTTGAGTGGTCGCGAATCGCAGAAATCGACTGCCAAATGTCAGGAATTCTCTTAGTCGTTCGATCGCTGCATCGTTAGATTCCTTAGTGTCCCTGGATGAGTCAGAAGCACTATCAAGTCTGACAAATGTAATTTTTCGGGAATTGGGCCCTAAAAGAAGGTAGGGTGTGGAAGTTTCTCGAGGCTGTCTGGCATGTACGGAAATGTAACTACAGATGTCGCTAATGTTGTGACGAGCCGGAAGCACTACATGAGACGAAAAATGCCGTCCATCGCTTCTCCTACTGACGGTACGGGACATCTTATCCCACCCCCTTGCAGGGCTACCCAGAGGGAAGGGGGGGGGTGCAACTGGGGCAATCTGCCCCAGGCCCCTCGTATCAAGGGGTCTCCGGTTTAGTTTTGCCCCAGGCCCCTGGAAACCTCTGGGCGGCCCTGCCCCCTTGCAGTACTCTACGTGAGTCCCAAGCGCTCTGGATGAACCAAGATGGCTGCCGCAGGTGGACTAAGTGGAGGACTTGGATGTCGTCGCGGTTGTTAGATTCATATCGCCCTAGGTGAGGCCCACCAACCGAATTTAGGGTGATTATTTAGGTCTATCGCAAATTGGGAAAGAACCGCTAGGCCTGGACAAAATGCTAGTGGGCACTTCCCAGCAGCTTTCAGGGAAAGGTCAAGGTGAGGGACGTGTAAGCAGTGGTGGCACGCAATCTGCTGCTGTATTAGTCAGTCGATGGAGGCAGGTAAGGAATAGTAGACAGTGCCTACCCTCTCTCCATTGACTAGCAATCGATGCAACAGATCACGAGTCGCCACCTGCGTGGAAGGTTAACGGCCTAAAGTTGTGCCGTGGTCCTCGGACGGAGCTTACACCCTGGTCAAGTATAGGCCTCAATAATATGGATTCTTGCTTAGTGGGATTATACACATGTATTTCGGCCAAGTGTTTTTCACTCGAGTCTGACAATATTTTTATTTGACTAGGATACCTGTACATGGGCTGTTCCTCCTGCACGAGTGTCTGCGTCTAATAATATTGTCAAGCTCGAGTGTAAAACAGTTTAACTTCGTCTGGTTAGGCCTAACGTAAGAATATATTCGCCTGCATAGCCTAGGTCACCCTGCAACAGTCAGACCGAGTCACCTTCAGGTCACTCCCATTCGACGACAGTGTAACTTCTTGAACTGCGTTTTTAATTTTTGTCGCTTCTCTTGTCACCTGATTATTTTTGAGCTGGTCAACTGTAAGCTTTCCTGACTCGCGAGCCGTTATGGGCTAATGCGAACGGTGGCGCTGATTAGCGTGATAAGCAGCGTCCCAGCTTCTCATTGTGATGAAAAAATTCCGCAATCCTCCACTTGGAACGAACTGAATCGAACATGTTTAAGGCATTTCTATTTCCACTCGTTTCCATAAGTGATGGTGACCGAGAAACAGTGCCGCTCAGAGGTTTTCGGAGGCCCGTGGCAAAACTAAATTGGAGGGACCCTAAGGGGGCCTTAGGGTCCCTTGATACAGGAGGCCCGGGGAAGATTATCCCCGATGCCCCCCCCCCCCCCACTCTGGGCGGCCCTGCCGAGAAATATCTCTTCTATCGCGAAAGACATCCGCTAAACTGATCTGCACAAAAGCCAAACATAAAGTCCGGAAAAGGAAAATACTGAAATGCTTTAGTTCCCACGAAGCTAGCGCATGGAAAGGCGTTCGCGACCATCATAGATGCTGGGGAAGTTTTTGAGATGGAAGAGGCCACTCCCAACCATATTGATCGGACTCGAATGAAGGAGACCTCGTAAGGCAAAGGTGCTCTCAGGTGTAGTGAATGGTGCACTCTGATTAAACGGTGCAATGCAATCGTACCGCCTTCTTTGCCGGTTCTTTGTCGCGACAATTAATACGTTGATGAGATTGGAAGGTTCCAATGGTAGATAAGGTTTTGGAATATTTCTTTTCATCTCGGACATGATGGCATGCAATAAAAAAAAAATGTATGCGACTTGAAAAAAAAGTAACCAGTTGACAAGTTACACACATCTGTAAAGCACTTCCACTAGTAATTCCCTGGTTTAGGAGAAAACCAGTTGTTTTTTAAAGATGTAATTACAGCCAAAACTAGTTTCCTAATTTATTGTAATTTGTCGAGAAATGACTGGAATCTCATGCATCTGATACTGTCTGTCGACTGAGATAGCCTTAATACAAAAAAAACGTCAGCAGAGGTGCGAGATAAGCTCTTTTGTAACTTTTTTCTCCGAAATCATCTCTGCAGGTCAGTGAGTAGGAGCACGCAAAAAAAAATCTCGAGAAGACTGCTTCCTGAGTTTTCATACATTAGAACAATTTAAAAATGGGATTTGAAGTGGTTTCATTTAAATATGTTTACTTGAAATAACAAAGAAGTCGCGACTGAGACCAGGTCCTTAGTCGCAGCCGAATGGAAACGGGACCTTGTGTAGAATTCTATTTCAATAACCTTGGATAGAATGTTTTCAAGTGGAATTGAGAAATCGTACCTTCAACCCTTTTTTATTTCTTTTCTGAATTTTAGGAAATTGCTTGATTCATTCTCCATTCCAGAATCCTCTCTCGTTCACATGCATCTCCAATCATGATTGTGCAAGTTTTCGATGGTTTTGATTGTTTTGAATTGTTGATTGTCTGCTGCCTCTTATGATTGCTTGGGCCATGTTTCCTCGTGGTCATGGAGGCAACGTCGATGTAGAGGCCATTTTATGACAGAAGTGACCTCTACCTAAAATAGTGCACCTGAATAATTCCTGCAGTTTTGAAATGGGTAACCTCTTTCATCAAAAATACAAGTACTACGAGAGTGCAGTACTTTAACTCTACAATGCATTATTTTTCTAACTGTACGATGAACATTTTTGGCGATTGTATTTTATGTGGTTGATGAGAAAAATAATGAAAAAATTTTCCTTTCATTTTGGATTTTCTATTGTATTGCGTTACGTTTAATTGCAAAGCAGAGCGTGCCATACCTGGCACATCATGCAGTGTAGGGTTAAAAACCTGCCGCTACCCCTCTGCACTGCAGACAGTATCGAGGGATAATTTTAAAAATTCAGCTCTCTGCTAATCCCCTCCTCCCACGTGCAGCCGATTCTGCACATCCGCATACGAGCACCTGGATGAGATATATCGCCCACATGTCTTCACCTGGGTGAGATATATTGCCCACACGCGCGAAGTCGCTCTCAGCCGTAGTTGCCTATTTCCACAAGCTAAAAATCATTACGGAATGAAAGTGAACTCAAAGCAACACATGGACGGGAGGGGGAGGAACCGTGAGATAGTTCATCATTTGATTGAATAACTGAATAACGCCATAAAAGGAATCCTTTCTCGAAGGTGGAGACCACTTTCGCAAAATCGAGTAGGGTAAGCACCCCGGTTTCTGGCCGGTCTCTAGCTGTTGGCCAGTGAGGCTTAAATCAGGTATAATTAGTTAATCTGGTCTGTTTTCAAGCATTCTATCAGCACCTTCCCGTACGAGGACCTATTACTAGTGTTTCCCGGTGTGCGCACAGTGTCCATTTCCTATGGGAGTCATATCAGCGTGGCCAAAAACTGGGGTGTTTACCCTAGACGCGGTTTCCCCGACTCTTCTGATCATGAAAGATCAGAGTGTCGATCGAGTAATCATGGTAACGTTTCTCGTCATTGCACACTGCGAGGCTCTCGATGCGCACGACTCCAAACCAATAACCTATAATTCGAAACCCATAACCAAAATATGTAACTGCCAATCACCGCACGGTCACGTCCACGGCTCGTTTCGCTTCCACAACAGTGACTGGGTCCAATTTCACGGCGCAAGAGAGGGTGACCAAGTAGGAAACTTTAGAATGCGGAACACATGAGAAGGAATAAACAGGACTAAAAGCAAAAATGTGTACATTTTCTGTTTTGCTGGACATTCAATCGGAATTTGGAACAGCCCCACATTCTGCGAGGTGGATGATCACACTAGCTGAAGCTCACTTCTGGATGGGATACTTGAGGTTTGCGCAATTGGGTCCTTTTGAATGACGATTTGATCAAGGACACCCGTGATTATATTTTCAGCCATCAAAATAAGTCGGGAGAGAACATGCAATTTTGAAAATCACTGCAGGTGTTGGAGAATTTCCGCATTTGACGAGAGGCCACCCTCTTCAGGGGTAGGAGTAATTCGGTAGGTTTCTGGATCAATTTAAATTTCCATGCAGGCATCCCATTTTGCTTCAGCCCACTGGCAGCACACACAGGGACTTACAAAGTCACTCCCATTTCTTTCAAGGACTGTGATATAACCTGAGAGTACTTCTATTTTCCTAAAATTGCCTCTGCCATACTTTTCACTTCATCGAACATTTTTGACATCGTAAGACTCTCACTTACTGTAGTACTACGCAAGTGACATCCAAGACATGGAGAGGTTTTTATTTAAACTATTATTTTATTTAAATTTGGTTTAAATCAATTAAGCCTCCACTGTAAATAAACTTCAATAAAACCTAATGTAGTTGACTGCCCCAATAAAAGCAGGATCTGTTACAGCATGAAGCTAAAAGAAATAGCAAAAAGCAATCTCTGCTTCAAATGGAAACAAAGTAATAAGATTGCAAATCCAACTGTATTCAAAGGTATATTCAAGCAGATGAATGTGATCATCATGTCAAGTGGGTCACACGGATGAGGGAAGAGCAGAATAAGATGACTTTGAGTTCAGTAGTTCACCCTCACTTTTCATATGCTCCAGGGCAGAGTTGAGGGCATTAAGGAACTCTGTCAATGTGACTGCTGAAGATGCATCAAGCAGAGTATGTGCCAGGAATGGGAGCTTCCGCACACTACGTCCACTCACACCTTCACTTTTCCTATGCCAAATCATCATCATCACAAAGAGCAACAACCATACGTGTCTCTTTTCCCTCTCCCCATTGCTTACCGACTGATTTCCCATAGTTTTTCAGTTTCAGTATTCATGACTGTGGCCCCAGGTTCAACCATAGGGAAGAGGTCTCCTTCTGTCTTTTCAATCACCCCTTTCTGCAATGACAACAGGACTCATCATACAGAAGAAATCAGACAATCTTATGTCAGAGTTTGTGCAATCAGGATGGTGTGAAGTAACAAGTGGAAAAGTTCCCAAGTTTTTTCTATCAAACCTAGTCAAGAGAACAAATCCAAAGATCCACTTCATTTTAAACCACATGACAAGTTTGACAATTTCTACTGGGATGTCAATCTTGGGAGGGGGTGAGAGGCAGGATACCTGAATCAGTTCGAGGAGACAGGACCTAAAGATGGAGTATACAGCTGAGACAGGTGGAGGTCCAATATAGAGCTTCACATCTGCTCGATCCACAAAGGCAACATCAATTGCACCTGTCAAGTTACTTGTGCTCAGGATCAGGATGTTTGGGTACCTGTCACACAAAGGAATTTTTTACCACCTCAAACTACCCAAAAACTCTTGCACAGAATCTCAACTTTTAAAATTTTTTTGCAACCTGCGTATCTGATCAAGCTGAGTCAGGAGTGCATTGACGACTCGCAAGGAATCAGATGGATCACTCCCAGCAATAGCAGCAGCTCGAGCAGCTGCAAGACTCTCTACTTCGTCGATGAGAATGAAGACAACTGCATCAGGATTATCCATCATTTCCTTGATCTTCTCAAACATCTTCAGCACCAGCTTCCCACTCTGCATGATAACACATTTCATTTAGGCATGCATGACACTTGCTAACCCAAATGAGAATCCTCAATTGGCATCAACCTCACTTCTGAATACCAGCGTGAAAAAAGGCTATGGCTGTTGATCTCAATGAGTTGGCCATATTTGTAGCGATGAGAGAGACGAATAGTGAGTTTCTGAGCTAGAGCCTTGCAAAGTGATGTCTTGCCAGTCCCTGGTGGCCCATGAAGGAGAACAACCTTGTTCAGGTTTATCAAATGACCATCCACACCATGATCAGCAAACATCAGGGCTGACTTCATATATGACAGCAGCTGCAGCATTGTGTGATGGGCAGGTATTTGTTATTATCATTACCTAGTTGCAGCATATGAAATGTTCATTTAATATTCTCACTTTTTCCTTTACAGGAGAGCCAAAGACGAGGCTGTCCCAGAGCCCATGGAATTCTCTGTTGGGGAGAAGCCAGTGAAGAGCAGCTGCACTGCCACCATCTTCATCCAGATCCTCTTCCTCTCCTCTTTCTTCTTCTAGGTGATAAAAGTGGAACTCCAATCTCTGTAGTTTCTCTACCTGTGAGAAAGATAACAACTAAACATGTTAAGCCTTGTACTGCTTCATGCTGGTCAATTTAGACTCAGTGACTAACTGACTGGTGTTGGTGTGGGGTCATCATACGCAAGCAATGGAGAACTAGATGGAAAAATCCTTATTTCCCTGAAGAGATTCTGTGCTTCAGTGGATGGAAACTCCAGGATGACTGCTACCTCCTCTCTTTTGCTCCAAGGCACTCCATGGATGCACTTCAAGGCAACTTGCTTCAAGTACTCCTCATTCTGCTTGCTATGTAAACACCAGTCATGCAACTCAGTCCCTCAGTCTATTATCTTAGGGTTCAAGGTTTCAACTAAAATTTAAATATTTAAGACACTTACTGCCTGATGTCCTTCAGCAGGACTTCAACATGAACCGTCTGGCAAAGAGTTCTCTCCATGGGAATACTTTCATCTGTCTTCAATCTGAAAAAAGCAACAAAAAACAAAAGAGGCCAGAGGTTCATTATTCAACATTTTTTCTATATCTTTTAGGAGATTCACTAAGCCTAGCCTGCTATTCCAGTTTATAGGATTTATCGTTACTAATGCCCACTCTGTTAACAGACAGATAGAAAATAGGTTTAATCACTCAATCATTGGCAATGTGCTGTCACCCAGTATGCTTAGATTAGACTCAAGGAAAATGTAATTCAGAGACTCTGCAACTGTACCTGGTTTAGATAAGCAGCAGATTCATCAGTAATGCAAGTAAGCATAAAATAAATAATTTGTAATGCAAAATAATAAGCCTCCTTCGGTGACTATTGTCTGAATAGGTCTATGATGGACAAAGCCACATCTTCCTAGATCCAAGAGATTTCATGAAAAACCCAAAAGCCTAGTTCAATGTTGACTTTGTCCTGGATTAATATTTAAGTTGGCCTGCCAATGTCTATTGCCTATGTCTGGGTATCTGTATATAAGGCTCTATAAAACTCAGAGGTAGGCCTAAGCAAAACAGAATACTCATAACTACTTTGTTTTTTTAAGCCTAAGAAAACAGTAGTTTCTATGACCATATTTAAGCACGGACCATCATACATAAGAACAGCTTGTTCTCTAAAATAAGTGGCATATTGAAACTCTCTTCCCTCCAGGCAAGATCCCATCTCACTATGGAAACATTCAAGAAGAGCCTTTCAGAAATCAAACCATGGGCAGCCTGCCCATTACCCATACTGTGATAACACCTAAACTGCACACTTAGCTCCTTGACATAAAATGGATTACATTAAGTATGTTGTTATAAGTTTCAGGCCCTCTCATTAGGGTAATGATGGCCTAGTCCTATTGCATATGTATGGCATATAGCTGAGTCCCCTTGTATCTGCTTTGTGTCCCCCTTGACAGCCACCTAAAGCTAGTAAGCAAAAGTCTCAAATTTGAGCCTCAAAGTTAAGTGTCTTGGATTATAGCACTGCATTTCTCTCCTTTTCTTTTGTTGATTGGTGGTGAAGATAAGGAAGGCTAGACATGGTAATATGCATATGTCATGATTTGAAAAGAAAGGCATTAGGATGCAGAAATGTTAAGCTAGTTTAACACAGCATTTTATACTGACTTTCCACATCTTTTAAGTGAACTCCATTCTATTACCCTAACAGGAGTGGTAAAACTTAGCTTATCGTCATTTACGTCTCCTCATCACAATGAGGTTTTAGTAATATTTTAAACGTACCAGTGAACAATTTGTTTATTAGGCTGGCCTAGTAGGAAGGCAACATGATAATTGTCACTTGTTTTGCTTCAGGCGATGGGCTTCGAATCATTCATGTTAACTGTCAGTAGGGTTGATTAGTTCATCGTGCCATGCCATTGTTAGAGCCGTGGAACGTCAATCTGACAAGAGAGATTCGCCATGAAGAGCTGTGAGGACCACTGGGGCAAGTTCAGTTTAGGCCTAATGCGGCTGACCCTATGGACATTTTCGAATAATATACTGCTAATACGATGATTGGCTAGGCATCTATGGACATCCTTCCCATGTCTGCCTCCGTTAGATAGGACAGGATGTTCTTAAACGTCAAGCAAATACTTCTTTAGCACAAGACTGCCATACCTAACTTAGTCTTATTGGCGTTTCATGGAGGGGATCAGCGAACAAGCCTATTTTTTAAATTGGTTCAATGCAGCCTTTATGCATATTCAAAATTATTTGCACACTGAAAAAGAACTTGAGACGGATCAAATACGAAAAGGGGGAAGGCTCATTAACGTCGAACACGGTAAGTTATCATTTAGCGCGCGGCCATGGAGCCGTTACGCGCGGTGACGGCGACACCTGCGGTGACTTTCTGAAACTGATATGCTGATGCCATACTCTCAGATGCCAGTAGCTGTCATGCAGAGTCGGGTGTCGTGGGTCGAAAAGCTGGTCGGTGGAGTGACGGCGCGCCCCCACAGAACTCCACTCCCTACTGTAAATGATTAAAGCCAAGGGCGTACCGAACGACCGTGCCTTGTTCCTTCCTTGTGTCGTGGCATCCTTGTCTGTTTCTCGAGCTGGGTGTATTTGTCGAGAATTCAATGCAAAGGTCAAAATGGCATCAATGATGACTTGGCGGAGGTGAGATGACAAAAGAGAAAGTTGCGGAGAAATGCTTCATTCCATGGTAAAACAAAGACTTACACAAGGTAGATGGGAAGCAAAATAATGAATTTCTGAGTATTCTCTCTTTTCAACGAGCTGCCCGAAAACAATCACAGCACGTGACTCTTGCAACTTCCTTTACGAAAAACAGGAATGTGTGGAAGCCTGACTAATCTTACGCGAACGGGAGACGTGCCAGTGTACTGCATTCGGAGAAATCTACTCAAGGTCTTTTCATTTGTGGCATGCTTCCAATTATGGCTGTGGAATCGGAGCTGCGTACCTCTGAGTCCTCTATGGTATCGAACTAAATATTGTATTTCGCCTTAAGAAGCATATATCCAAGACAAGGAAGGTCGGGATTGATTTTGCGCTGTCTGTGCTAAATAAGAGTTTTCGAAATGAGATTGGGGCAATCTATCGATGCCTGAAGAAGAAAGTAGGGAAGAAATGCAGGAAACTCCCTAAAACTGATGCATGGTCCCTGGTTCCCCACGGTACGAAGAAAAAGTGTAATTGTACGCGGGCCCACATGAGACGACCGAGGGAGGAAGAGCAGCATCTCCTGCAACGTGGTAGATTAATCGAAGTCCCACCCCGGGACATCCGTCTTGATTCTGCCTCGTTCCCGTGCATAATTCAGGAAATGAGCCTATATTGGTCATAGATCCATCCGAGGAGACTCCGAGCTTTTGGGAGTCCCCTGACAATCACTATGGGGCTCGTGGGAACCCAGTCGATGCCGCGGCATCCATTAACTATCGCACCCAGAGACGCATCAGCCAGCCGATACCCACACCGTGTGCAGACTTTTATGGGAGCGAAAGCTGGACGCTTATGAAGTTTTCATTTCCATTGCGTGTAATGGGCGTTTTTCGAGTATCCGATGCACATCGCACCGTCTCCGCCCGATTCTCCGAGACGGAAGGAGTTCGGGGAATTAGGAAGACAAAAAAAAGCGAGAGATCTGGCAACGAGAACGAGGGACATTGAATTACTGTACGGGGAGGAAGACACAGTGGAGCAGAAGCTCTAATAAGATTACCCGCTCTTCTGTGGTCTCCCCGGGTGATGTAGCGACTTTCCGTCGACACACGACAGCCAGCATGCCACTTTCGGACGCCGCTTTTCTTCTTCGCTTTTTTCCCCCCCTCTCCCTTTTTCATGCAAGATTCCCGAGGGAATTCCCAGCCCGGATGGATGACGAAAGCCGAGGCGATTAACTCGGTAAATTATAAATTGCCAGGCCTATGAGCCCTACCTCCTTCCCAATTACCTGGAGGAGCATGCAGTCGTGCATAAATGTCGGGAATAACACGGTATCACTCCCTCATTTGCATGCTGCATCCAATCGTCACGGAAGGCATGGTGCTTTTCTCTCCTCATTCATGAAACATTTCCGCGTGAGATGCCCGTCGTCCGACTTTTCCTCGACCTCTCTGACCCTACCGTGGAGGGATGTCATGAAGACGGCGCTACGGGATGTCGTGGGATGTCATGGGGTGTCATGCGGTGTCATGTCTTGTCCCTTCGATGTTCTCCGCGGATCGCCTGGAGTGTACACAGCTGGGCTATATCAGCTCGTGGAAAATAAAGAGAAAAAGAAAAAGCAAGCCTGTCTATTGGGAGGTGTCTCGTGGAATTTCTCGAGAGAAATGAAAGAATTGGATTCTGGCAGCTATTTTTTGCTCCTTGCTGACAATTCTAGCATACGTTGCAGACAAGAGGAGAGGAAAATCTTTAAGTCCTTCCATCCTTTATAGTTCTTTCATCCCGGCTTTTCTTTGTTTTTACCTCTCCAAGAATTACATGGCAGTAGACTAGTGATGCGTACCAGTCGTCTTCCTGAGCTCGGAATCCTAATAATCTGCGTGCGGAAGATCGTACCGTTCGTATGTGTGACGTCACGAAGCGACGTTTCGATCTCAGAAAGTCAGTGGACCCGCCACTGACTCGTGATGCGCCGACCCATTCCACCTGGCTAAGTGCGAAAACCCGAGGCGAGACGGCGAGAAAGAGGAACGGCCACGAGGACGTCGCCCCGAACCGAGACGAAAGCCCGACTCCGAGACGATCCACGCGTGACACCGAGATGACGAGAGTGCATCGGATACAGGGAAGGCCATGCACGACTGACACCTCCCAACCACCACGCAGTCCCATTCGCGACGGATTCGATCCCATCCCCCCCGATGTGGGATGGGACGGACCGGAGGAGGACGGGGATTGGACTGTCACCTGAAGAGAGACATCATGTGACATCTCCCCCCTCCGCCAATCACGTCCCGTCTCCGTTGCGCAAGGACACTTCTTTTCTTGTCATCAGCATAGTCCTTCCTCCTCCTTCCTCTTCTCTACTCCTCCCTCGAAAGAAGTGATTTTTCTTCAAAATATCTATTGGGCCATGACAGATGCCTATTGTGGAAGGCACGCATCGAGGTTTATCAATTTCAACGATGCCCTTCAGGGGTCTCCCCTCGACCAATCCCTTGATATACGGCTTTCATGCCGCATTAGAATACTTGAACTCTCCTCCTCCCCCCCCACAACTCATCTCCTTTCTTTTTTTTGTTGTGGGAGCTATGTCCCCCCTCGCTTCGATGCAGTTTGGGAATTCCTTCTCCGGCTGTGCATGGGAAAGGGAGCTGGGGGGCGGGGAGGATGACCTGATCAATCTGCAGATGTTGGGGATGGGAATTAATAATACATCATTCATGGGGTCTGGGACTTCCAAAAGCCGGTTTAGACCCACGCACGGACGCGTTCCACTTCACTGCTTCGGTGCGAGTACATGCACGGGCACTCATCCATTGCGGACCTTAGAAAGGTCTGTAATGGATGTAACCTTAGAA